TGTAACCTCAAATTCCTGAAATGCAAAAAGTTTTCGTCTGGAATCACAGGATAATCGAAATGCTTTGAATTTTTGAAGAAAAGCTGGGAAAATTAATAAAGATTTTAAAAAGTAAAATTATGAAAAATGAGGGGGGAGGAATGTATTAAGGCATTATTTAATATTTATTTTATTTATGCATATTTAAAGGTACACATTTTTATTGAAATAATTTCTGACGTTAAGTGTTCTCAAGTTAATGTTTATACTTTAATTTGAATATTTAAACATCAAGGAATATTATTAAATAATAACCTTTAAATTAAAAGGTATTTGTTAATCTATTCCAGCAGCTTAGCAATGAAAAAGTATGACTTTAATGTTATTTTTATTTAAAAATATAGTTGTTTTCGCTTTAACTCAACTACACGGCATAACAATATTTATTTTAGTACTAAAAATGTATACTATATATTTATATTATTTATATTATATATTTAAATATTTATTTATATTTTTTAATAATTTCCCTACTTTATTTATGCTAAAAATTTGATAAATATTTCCTTTGAAAAAAAAAAAAAATCTCCAGGCGGAATGCCAAGACCCTCTTTTTTTTTAGTAAAGAAAGAAGCCAGAACAAGAGGAAGTGGAGCCATAAATAGAATGTTTATGATTATTGCAGTTCGTTTTAAATGCTATCAAATGCTATTACTACAAAAAGTCATATCTGTTGGGATATATTTTATTTCTCTGAATGAGACCATAAAGTCAATAGAGTTTGAAGTTTTTAAAGTGTAAAGAAAGTATTTCCATAAGCAAATTAAAATTAAAGTAATGTTTAAATTGAGGGATTAGGGTCTTACCTTGATATGTCTTGTGAGTTTACCCTATAAACCCTTGTGAAAAATATTGTAATTATGCCTTAAACTTGAGAACACAAGGAAAGTCTGCTAAGTTAATTTTTCATTCTATTTAGTTTTCTAAATGATTTTTCTTTAGTATTCCTTTTTAGTTTTTCTAATATTAATTTCTTTAAAAATTGCAAATAAAGTTTCCAAAAATTTTTGTAACAAATTTTATAATATATAATTTAATAATACATATTAATTTCATAATCAATTTCATTCATTACTTCAGTTGACAAAGTTCGATATACATAATATTCTAACTTACTTAGTGGTCTTAAAACCTCTTAAGTTTAGTGTCTTAATTTTCCCAAGAAAAACCCAAGTTGTAAGGTATTTAGTATTACAAAAAAATAATGTTTTCCCTAGGTATTCAACCTAGGCATTTAAACCAAACTTTATCTTGAGGTTTCTGGAATGCTTAGACCTCTTTTTATCTCTTTTATAGGCTCTTAAAACACTGACCATCACCCCTAACTCAACCAGATAAACACAGAGATGAATGAACAATAAAAAAAACATAGATAGGTCGAGTTCAGACTCCTATTTTTGGCTTATCTGGGGGGCAATAGTTAGGGTCCCGCATGAACTCTTCAAAGATTTGCTGCCGGCCTCAAGTGCACTATTTGTTTATTTTTTTTTCTCTTTATAGTTTTTGTCACATTTTTTGTCACATTTTTTGTCACATTTTGTGTGTGTGTGTGTGTTTTATTTTCTCCTCTCTTTTTATCAAGTTAATTCCCAAGAACCCGCTCAATTGTTAGCTCAACAGATCTGGGATCGGGCCACTTAGCCTAACAGTAATCGACGCTAAACGCTGTCTTGCTGATTGCTGACAACTTAATCAACGAAAGAAAGCCGAGGGAAAGGCATATGAAACAAGGCACTGTACTATATGGCCATGCCAGCTAATATCTGTATGCCGTCCGCCTATCTATAACGCCCATATATAGTATATATAATATAGATGTGCACCCGCATTTAGACGGACGCAGACGCGTCCCTGAACTTTGGGTGAGATCAATTTGCACTGCCGCGAATTGGATTCGAAAAATGCGAAATATGTCAACGAACAGAGGATGGACTATAAAGTAGGATCATCTCTCTAAATGACAGATCTTTGTCTTGGTCTGATCTCTCTGAACTTCCGACTTCTCCACGCCCTAAGGCCCCCTCTCTGGGGCTTCTAGAATTGCGAAATTGTCACTGAGTTGATTATCTTTGTGCTTTGTGGAAAGGGTTGTCAATTGTCTTGGCTAGAACTTTGGCATTATGCTGTCTGACTCTAATAGACCCTGAAATTCTAATGAAACTATAAGGATAAACCTAGCTAGGTTTGCTTACAACAGTTTTAAGTACTTAAAAGTACCTTCTCAATATTATAGCTAATAATAGTTTACAGTTTGATTTTTTAAAAACATTTTTCGAAACAAGAAAAATTCCACAACAAAATAGAGTAAAAATAGTGACCATCTCACTCCTCGTAAAGCTGAGAATGGGGTCAGTCCAGGGGGTCTGCTTGGTGCAAAACATAGATTTTACATGTTTTCTACTATATCTTTGTTGTATTCTAGAACAAGGCTATATTTTTTGGCACTTACATTTTTTACGCCTTGCAGTTTGTACATTATTTTCTTTAGTGCTCTCTCAGTTCGCTGGAGTTAATATTATGCCAGTACTTACTTATAGTCTTGACTGGGCCCTCGACGAGTTTTGATTTATTTGCGGCCGTCTCTGTGCATTTTAATTGTATTTGTATTTGTGTTTTGTGAAATTGTTGACTTAATTGGCCCCCGAAACGAATCGTTTGCTATACGCAATGCAAATTGGATTGCTGCCACTATTTGATTGGGCTTGGATACGCGCGATCAGCCGTGATCTATGGGCGAATGCCCTTGCCCCCTCAATTTGGACAGAAGTCGAAAATGTATAGCCAATGAATCGATCAAATATAAATAACAAATATATACTTGAACAATATGCAGTTGGAATATTGAAAGACTGGATGAGGCAGAGAGCGAACGACTAAACTGAACCTTGATTTTAGTTTTGAAATAAAATTTCAGAGGATTTCAAATTTTGGTGATTCTTCTTTTGGAAAACTTCACTTCTTTGGCAGTTATAAACAAACTTATTTTACCAGTGCATTAATTGCTGTATTAAATGTGTATAAACTGACCCATATCTTTTCCCTTTCCTGCACTTGCATCCTCGATTATACATTTTATTCTTCAGTCTGCTATACCATATACATATACCCCTGATAAAGGGCGGTTGAAGATCAAAGACTCCGGCAATGATCTTAGCTCTTACCCCTCAGGCCTTGCCAGTAAAATGGTTAATTATACATATCGAAACATATGTATGTAGCCATGTATTTGGACATATATATATAAATATATATATATGGACATGTGTGCCCTATGCCGATAAAGCAATCATTGTCGGTCACCACTGCCCATAAACGTTATGGGCCACCCTGCGAAACTATCCGTTTTCCGATTTCATTATAGTGCTTTAAAAATGATTATTCATAAAATTAGCAAACGAAACACGTACACAATTAATGACAGTTGGTTCCGACTTAAATTTTCAATCACATTTTGGCCTAAAGGCGCTGCGCATGCGCCAAAAGCCAAATTCAAATTAAAGGGGGAAAACAGCTGTAAGAGTATAAAATTATATATTATGTATTTGAAAGTGCGATTTTTATTACAATGCTGGACAAAGTACAACTGTAATAAAAAGCTAATTAACTTAGAAGGTATTGCTTAATTCTAGTAAGTGCACCTATCACCAACACGCCACCTGTGGCCCGGTTCTTGCAATCAATACAAAAGCGAGGCAAAATGGTTGGGAATTGTATTGCGTGCCTTTAAATTTACTTTCGACATGGCATGGCAACTCTATTTTCAGTCCAATGTGCCATTTTCCGCGAAAGAGGTGGCGGTGGATCGTAAACTCAAATTGCATTCCGAATGCCTCATAATTGTGGACGCGTGGTTCTTGGTTATTCGGGCCCACCGACCACTTAACGAAAGCGAAACGAAATTAAATGCAGTTGACCCAAAAATAGCGCGAATGCCCGCGTCTGCCACAAAAATAACAAAGTATTATTAAGAGAAAAAAACAAGGAAAAAAGAACAAACGATGGTAAAAAGCTAAATACAGGGCGGTCCATGGGGTAAGGGGGTATAAAAGGGGGGATTTAAATTTGCAAAGAAGGGAATTAGAGAAAAAATAAAGGAAATTACTAAAAAAATCTTTCGAAAAAGATCTCCCACAGAGCATCTAAAAGAAACATCTACCGTTCCCTATAGCTTGTGCATTGCCAGCAAAGCGTGAAAGCCACGGAGAGGGAGAGTTTGTTTGAAAAGCTACCTTTGGGCCCGTTTAAAAAACAAAAGAGATCGCAAGAGTATCTTAATCCAAGAGTAAAAACTCAAAGTCATATCTTAATAATATCTTAACATCTTATCGAGCACCCTGTCTCAAATGGGGCTTTCCCTCTGGAGCAAGAGTCGTCATCAGCTGAGCGTGCAGTGGTGGCCGTTCCAAGGGGCAGCTGGGGAGTGAGGGTGTGTGTGTGTGTGTGCGAGTGGCGACATCAACAATTACACATGTGGCCCAGGTCAGGATTGGGGTGCAAAGGTGCTGCTCCGGCCGATGTTATTTCGCCATTCAGCTATTAACCCAATTCCCGCGTGCAGTGACTTCTGGGGCAGTCCCCGGGTCCAAGTGCCACCCACAAAACCACATGGCACAACGCTCAATTATGCTTATGGCCGCCACAACACAAGGAAATCCATACCCTCGATTGCGGAAAATGCATTTTCCTACGTAGCCGTCGACGCCGCTGCCTCTGTCGGCTTCGACTACGACGTTGACGTTGACGCTGGCTTGACCCATTTTTAGACATTTAGAGGGTACACGCCCACCCAAGGAGTGGTGGAGCAGGACGAGCACATAAACCACATCCTGACGTCAAAGTTGTCGATGACGAAGAGCTGTCGTTGTTGAAATTGATGTTTTTTTTTTTAATTTAACCATGTTGGAAATTTATTAAATTATTGATTTTGATTTCCATTTGAAAACTTGTAATTTTATTTCTAGCACATTGTCAACATCTGGCGCGGGAGCAACAGGTGCAGGAACTGGATCTGGTGGAGCAGCCGCAGCTGATGCCTACAAAATGGTGCACCAAAGCAACGAGGATGCCATGAACAAGATTCCACTCAAGTCGGCCGGCGGCCTGGACTCGGATGAGGAGAAGAATGCGGGCGAGCTTATGCAGGACACCGCCGCCGCCGAGGAGGCGCGACGCGAGCAGATGTGAGCATAAAAATGGCATTAGCTATGACATCGCAAGGACGTGGGTCCTTGAATGGAGTGTGGGGTGGAGAATTTGTTACCATAAAAATCGAGTTCAATTAAAGCTCGTGAAGCAGCCAATTCGGTTGTAAAACCTAGAACTTAAAATCTAGGGAAAGCTGAAAATATGAATATATCGCAACTGCATCGATATTTTAACTTTACGATAAATGTGTGATAAATTGATATTATATTTATCGGTTTATATTCTTGAAAAAATAAATATAAATAAGTTAAATATATTTATTGTAAATCTAACGAAGTATAGAAGTGAAGTATAAAAGCTACAATATTAATTATGTAATTTCCACTCCTCGAAGGCGTGCCAACGTCCTGGCCTGGATGAAGAAACTAACCATCGTGCTAATCTGCTTCATTGGAATCGCCCTGATCAGCTACGTGATCATCAGCCTATGTTTCAGTGGTGAGTTTTGACAGTTTTTGGAGGAAGGCAACCACATCCAGCTAACAATTCACTCACCCATGGCAACTAAACCCAATCAGAACTTCTCGTAGAACGATAGACTTTAAGTTTGTACCATATTATACATAGTATGTGTAAGTAAAGGAAAAGACTGACTTTCGAGACCCTTTGTTTGGACCGAACATAGTACAAACCCCACAAAATGCTTCTTTTTTTCTGCATGCCCTCGTACCATCTTAACCAAGCACCTGGCATTTAATCTAGTTCAAAAATAATTTCTTCTATTGTGGCACCAAAAAGTATTCACATGAACAAAACCCAAACCAAAAACTTTACACCCTAACTCACTAAATACCAACAACAACAACAACAACAACAACGAAGACTGGCCAAAATCGACACCAAATAGAAACAGCACAACAACAACAACAACAACAACGACGACAACTTCAACAACAGAGGCAACCTCAGTAGCAGCAGTAATTGCAACAACATCAGCAACAGTCGCCGCAGCAGCAGCAACTATTGAAACTTCAACAACAATTGCACCAACAACAATTAGCACCAGCACAACAACAACAATAGCAACAACAACAACTACACCACCACCACCACCACCACCACCAATAGCAACAACAACAACAACAACAAGCAGAACAAATAGCAATCCCAGTTCCACACTTAAAACATTTACTTCAACAGATGAGCAGCAACAGGAGCAGGATCATGATCAGGAACGAGGAGGAAATATTGGTAACCTGAATCTACCCACCATGGCCAGTACTCCGGCGGACGATGCCCTGCCCAGTGTGGCCGCCTCGACAGCAGCAATCACGGATCAGATACGCATCGATACGAGCGATGAGTTTGAGTCGATACTGGGTGTCTATCAGCATGGAGCGGTCAGCTCCGATAATCTCGAGTGCAGCAAGATTGGCCGGTGAGATGGGTGGGGGATTATTCTTTAAATAAAATAAAAATTATCCCTTTTCCAGTGACATCCTTCAAAAGAACGGCAGCGCTGTGGATGCGGCCATTGCTGCGCTGCTTTGCAACGGTCTGCTGACCATCCAGAGCATGGGCATCGGTGGCGGTCACCTGATGAACGTTTACATTCGCAGCGAGCGCCATGCCACGGCCATCGATGCCAGAGAAGTGGCTCCGTATGCCGCCGAGATGGAAATGTTTGACCAGCAGCCAGAGAAGTCCTACAAGGGTCCACTGAGCATCGCTGTGCCCGGGGAGGCGATGGGCTACCACGTGGCCCACCAGAGATTTGGCCAATTGCCCTGGTCAACTTTGGTGGCACCGTCTCTGGAGCTATGCGAGAAGGGATACCATGTGTCGCAGCACATGGAGCGAGCCCTGCATGCCGCATGGCCGCACATCAAGGAGCACGAGCAGTACCAGTGAGTTATCCTTATGAGCTAGGATTCAAGATGTTCCACTGATTGCTTTCTTTCCAGGATCTATCTGAACCAGGAGACGGGCAAGCCGCATAGCGCTGGCACGATGGTCAAGCCACCGAAAAATCTCTGCGAGACATACAAGCTTCTGGCGGAGAATGGACCCATGGATCTGTACAATGGCACTCTGGCAAAGCTGCTGGCCGACGATTTGCGCGATGTGGGTAGCATTGTGACGGCCGATGATCTTTCGTACTACGAGGCCGATGAGATCAATTCCATTACAATGGAGCTGGGAGAGGATACGTTGTATGTCCTGCCCCCGGTTAGTTCCGGCTCCCTGGTGGCCCATACTCTAAGCATCCTGCAGGGCTATAACTTCACCACAGCGGATCTGGCCACGGAGGAGCTGCGTGCACGTACCATCCACCGCTTTGCGGAGGCCCTGAAGTTTGCCTTTGCCCAGCGATCTGAGCTGGGCGACATGCATTTCATCGATGCCCGGGAGCTGGTCAGTCGTCTGAATAGTCCGGAGTTTGGAGACCAGAACAGGGCCAAGATCAATGACTCTCACGTGCTGCCGGATCCGCAGGCTTATGGCGCTCAGTATGGCACCAATGACGATCCCGATGGCACTTCCCATTTGGTGGTGCTGGCGCCCAACGGTGACGCTGTCTCTGTGACCAGCTCCATTAATTCCTAGTATGTATTGACATTGACCCCTTGTAGAATATATGTAGCTTTACATATATAATTCCATTTATATAGCTTCGGTTCCGGCCTGATTGGCTCCCGCACGGGAATCGTGCTGAACAATGGCATGAACGACTTCGCCGTGGAGAACAACTTCTTTGGATTGCCCAAATCGGCGGCGAATACCATTGAGCCGCACAAGAGACCCATGTCCTCGCAATCGCCCATCCTGCTGGCGGATAAGCAGGGAGACATGCGCCTGGTTATTGGAGCAGCCGGCGGCAGTAAGATCATTCCGGCCGTGGTTGAAGTGGCCGCCAAAGTGCTTTGGTTCGGCGAGGATCTCCGAGCGGCTGTGAGTGCGCCCCGCTTCTATCATCAACTACTGCCCGATGTCCTGGAGTACGAGGAAGAGGGATTTTCGGACTCGCTGCTGCAGCTCCTTACCCAAAGGGGTCACCGGTTAAAGCCCATTAGCAAGACTAAGGGTTCGGTGGTTTCAGCCATTTCCAGAAATGCCACCGCCATCTATGCGAATGCCGACTACCGTAAGCGCGGCGGAGTGGCGGGCTTCTAGGATGTCCCAAAGGATTCAAAGGAAGTCTGTGCGTTCATCCACACACACACACACAGTCACACGCATCACACACAAACACACACACAGACGCACACACACCACGCACACACGACCCTCATTGAGATTAGAGAGTGGTGGAGTCGATCAATTCGCATCACGCAAAAGTATTTAAGCTAGCTATGTCTTTTTTACATACTATGTATATCGTACGTTATATAAATTTATATGCTACTACCTAACTACTACCGTATACAAAATAAAAACAAACAACAAAAGAAACAGAGCTTACTTTAAAAACTAATCGTTTTTAACTGCAGCTTTACTTATGGAGGTTTCGAGTTGTTCAGGTAAGAGCTCTGTCTACAAGTATGCTTTGTATTATTTATGAACAAATGTTGTATTACTTTTTCAAGTCTTTACAAATCTGCTAGTGCCTAAAAGTAGACAATGACTTACTGTAGTTATAAAATATGAAGAGATCTCACCACCACAATTAGCTACCCCCAGTAATTAATTTCAATGGAATAAATAACTTTAATTTAGGTAAGGCTGGCACTGTCACTTCATGCCAGGTATGTTAGAAGCAGTTGGGAATTATATGTACACAAGTGTGCAATTTTTCGGCAAGTACATTTGGCTCGTAAGATCGTTTAGAGAGAGAGACATACATATATAGATAGACATTCTAATGTTTCATTTTGTTCTAAATCTGTATTTTTCTAATTATTAAGACTTTTAAGCATCTCCCACAGAAATATATTATAAAACATAGTACCAGAGATCAGTAAAACCATTAAAAAAAATACAAACTTAATCTCCGTGCTCATGGAATACAAATAAAAAACCATTCGTTTTTGACTTCAATAAATTTAATAGGAATTTTTTATTTCTGGAAAGCAACATTTAACGTTTTCTTTTTGTGTTTGTTTTAACATTCGTTGGCAATCGACATCGCTATCGTTATGGCTATTAAAATTATTATATTTGTAATATACAGATATACATATATATATATATATATATATAATTATATACAGAACTAAGACTAAGTGCTACCCTGTAGTGGTTGTAGTTTGATTGCCGCCCTTCCTTGGCTTTCATTAAGTAACTATATCTTTAAGTGGTATATGTTTTCAGGCGCATCATGTGGTTTAGGTCATTTTACCATCTCTTTTCACTTTTTTTTTTTTTGCTATTTACAACTTGGGACTAGATGCTGTGTGAAGAACTATATTTATATTTATAGATTTATATGTACAATGCGAGAAAAAGGATGGTGGGTCCTACGAGTTACAATACTAGCTGCTTAAAAACAAAGTAAATACAATGCCAAAATGCTTAGCTAAGCTGGCAGTTGGCCAAACCTAACAGTATATAGAAGTGTAGCCGATATTTAGCAGCAACCTGTCGAGATTTGAATAAACTAGGCTTGGTGTGGATTCAGGGAAATTTTACAAAATATAAAAAGGAAATCAAAGGCTATATCAAATATATATAATATACAAAACAGATTTTAAAAGAAGTGAACTAAACTGGAAGCAAATTGTTGGGTTTATAATTTGGAAACTTCCTTGCCCAGAAATATTATAAGCCAAGGCATTCTCAATGCCTCACAGGTTAAGTAATGGGTTTCGCCTCTCGAGAAGTTTGCTGGTAACAACGTATCGAAATTGTATAGTTATGCATTTGTTTTTGTTTCTTGTTTCTTGTGGTTCGTCGTGTTTGGGGTCAAGTACAGAAATCCGTTGCGCTGCCAGTTTGTTTTTGGGGAAAAATCTCTTAATTCTCTCTCCTCCATCGCCTCCACCCCCCTTCCCCTAGATGTGCAGAGTGGTTCCGGGCATGGAGACGGAGCTACCGGCACCTGGCTTGGCCGATGTCTGCGGCGGCTCCAGATCCTTGCACTGGTCCAAGTCAATGACCAGGCAGTCGTAGGCCGGCGGCGGCAGCTCGAACTTGACCACGCTGTCGTAGCTGGGCGGCAGGGAGTCCACAATGCGCAGCACATCGTTCTGGGAGTTGATCTGCAAGTTAATATACATATATCCATATCTAAATAGGTAGCTTTACAGACTCTCACATGTGGCATGGCTCCGTTGGTGGCTCGGTTGCCCGCCTCGTCGATGGGTCCCGCCCAAATGCAGACGCCCATGCGGTGTGTGACATAGCCGCAAATGATCACACTGATCACCAGCATGCCAATGCCCAGGGCAAAGACCAGCCAGCGGGACTCGGCGCTATTGTCCCGCAGATTCTTCTCCAGCTGCAAGGCGCACAGTATAAGCACGGGCACGGCCACCATGGCCACCAAAAGGTCCACAATTGGACGCTGGGTGCTGGGACCAGCATTCAAGGGTCTGCGTCCGGATCCCGAACCAGATCCAGCGCCCATAGCCGATCCGCCATGGAGGCCCAGCGGATGGGAGCCGAAGTTCTGGTTGCTGCTGTTCGGTGTCAAGGTGGAGCGAGCCACCACCGTGTTGTGGTTCTGTAGCACCATACTGGAAGAAAGAGAAGGAGTCCGGGGTTACACAGTGAATAATTTAATGCAATTACTTATATATAGCAACCGAGTTGGTTAATTCATTCTATTGATTTATTAAATAAGTTGTCCAATGTTGTTGTAATACAATTAAACTACAACAATTTATTAAATAAGTTGTCCAATGTTGTTGTAATACAAAAGCAGGGGAGATTTGTATAAATTCTTGTAATCAATAAAATAATTAATAAATAATTACAATAAAATTATTATAAACCAATTGTTACAACAACGTTGGAAAACTTGTTAAATATTCCAAAAAGTATTGGAGTTGTGTAATAATGAAAATAATATCACCTTATTATGTTTACAATAACTAAAATACAATTATTTAAAAAGAGAGATTTAAATAAATACTTGAAAAAAATGAAAACTTATTGAATCCATCTAAATTACTAAATTTTATTACATTTAAAAATAATTGGCTACATTCTAGCGACAAAATATATAAAAACATAACAACGGAATGTGTAATCAATTTTTTTTTTTTTTTGCTTATCTCTGTCTGAAGGTAATTTAGCCCGTCTAGAGGACTCATGTTTATTCTATGGGAATATCGGCTAATTGGTGGCTCTCAATTGTTAATCCTCAATGAATAGGCATGGGACTTGAAGCGGTTCCTATCCAACCAAACAATAGGGTCATTATCTCTGCATTAGATTAGCGCCGAACCAATTTCATAATTTAGATATATAAGAAACCGAAAGTTAATAATTTAACGGTATTAAATGCTTTTATAGACCTTGTAAAACATTATTTAGTGTTTCTTCAGTTTTTTAATATTACAACGCCTTTTAAACCTCTGTTAAGTGGTCGTTAACTTATAAGAATTAAGCTATATGGTTATCTACCCTGGCAAGTCTGTTATTCTTTATCCAGTCAATTTGTTTTTACCATTAATTTTTAACAGTATTTATCAGGGAGTTTAACAGTGACTTTATCCGTCTATCGTTTAACGTTAACCTTAACCTTCTGTTAAATCCTACACTGAGGATAAACGCAAGGCTTAAGGAGATACCAAAAGCCCAGCAGTAAAACCTTTTTGATGACTTAAGTGTTTAATTGCTGTTTCTCGATAGGTTTGGCAAATATTTTCCGTAAATCGTATTAGGTTTATAATATAAACATTGATAGCCGAGACATTGTCGTCCCGCCCCGTTCCAATAAAATCAACTGCGTCACAGAGCGAAGCGAAGGAAACCAAATATTTGCTAAGCATTTCTCGTTTGGAGTCCAATTAACATTGGTTAGCATTCAATTGCCGGGCCAGATGTATCATATTCCGATACCCATACATACATATGTATGTGTGTACGGCATTTGAGTGTGTGTATATGTTGTGGTCTATATAGTGAGTACAACTCGTACCTGGGATCAAAGGCGTTGCTCAGCAACAAGTCGTAGACGGCGCGCATATCGATAAATGTCGCTTTTCTCCTGTAGAATCGCTCTCTATTTTGATTTTATTGATATCAATTGCTTAATTTATTACTGTCTTATTTTCATTTACTGTTCTTAATTGTTAGCACATTTATTCAATGACTTTAGTGGCTGAAAAAACGATGCAATCTTTTGATTTTTTGAAGGTATAAAAATAAGTTATGAAATTGGAAAAAATTGTATTTCAAATCCAAAAGAAAGAATAAATAAAATATATATAAAGTAATTTACTTAAATTGGTATATTTTTTTATTAGTTATTATAATAACACAAACACAAATTATATTTTTAAAGAGGTTCTTTTTTTATTTTCTGCTTCATTTAAAATATTTAATTTTTAATTTTTTTATTAACCTTTATGTTTTCTCCTTACTTTTATTAAAGCAACAAACTGTTGTGTAATTTTACAACAACAAATTGTTGTGTAATTTTTCTCTATAAAAAAAGTTTAACATTTTCTCCATCAATCTTGGAATTTCTCGACTGGAATTAATTAGCTTCTGTTTTTCTTTTATTCATTAAATCGTTAAAACTACACTTAATTTATTTTTACTTTATATTTATAAGTATTTGTTTTCTTTATTTTATTTTTTGTTTGTTTTCCTCTTTTTTTAGTTTGTAATATATGTGCCTTTTATTTATAGTTTTGTTGTTATTTAGCCGCTTTAGCGAGTAGCGTCTTTATGATTCTGTTTTTCCCCGGTTCATAAAAATCTTACACCAGAGCACAGAGATAAGGGCGGGATCACATGGCGTATACTCGATCTCCACAAACTATAATATGCCTTATCAATGGGCAAGAACGAGAGGCGAGTTCGGTTCACTTGGGCGATAAGGACGACGCACGTGATTTGTACTTTTTATACAGTAATTATTTGTTTCAAAATCATCAAAAAAAGAGAAACAAAAGGCAATAAAAACCGAAAACACACAAGAATTAAAGCCAGCTTGGACGGGCTGAAACCAATTCGTGGCGATCTGAGCCGGTGAAATGTTGAAGTCCGACTGGAAAAGCGTCGGGCAAAAAAGCTGGCCCTATAGCATAATCAACGCGAAATGCGTTTTGAAATGGACTGTGGATATACCCTGGAAGGGGAAAATGGTATAAGAAAGAATTCATTCCTTATACTTATTAAACATTACATTTATGCCGCGGGTTTTCTTATTGAGTTTTAAATTATATCATTTTTTAATATATATATTATTTCTTTCAAGCATTTTAAAATTTCTGCCTTGAATAATCTATAAACCCGCCTTGAATGGTTACAAAAGAGGTAGCACTGGCCAGCATTGAATTGCATTTCATTTCGAATGAAAGCTAAGCAGAAAAAAACAATCCAATACACAGAGAGAAAGAGTGCATATAAAACGATTAAAGTCCTTGTCCGATAGCTTTATCTATGTGAAGATACAGCGCTTGAACGGGCTTCTCAAATATTTTGAACTTTATCTGAAAGTTGTCTGAACTCTGGCAACAGAAGATACCAAAGGCACAGAGGAGCGATACCCAGATACCGATAACAGATATTGCCCGATCTGAAGCATCTGGATTAAAGCTAAAATGCTAAAGATATCTGCACGGGGGGGAATCGAGAAAATCAAGCCCTTCTTGCAACAATGGAATATAATTTGCAATTATAATTTAAAACCCGTTGGGCATCTCAATGAATGGAGCCCAGGCAATAGATATACTTAATTGCATCTCCCCTTCAGCTCATATGACAAATGCAAATATGATGTTTATATATATACCCTATATATATGCACACTGATAAGACAACGCCCCGACTTTGCTCAAATACAACTGCGGTTGTAAAATGCGCCACCCCTGTTCCCGACTTCTTTTGTTCTTAAAAGTCAGACTCTCCCGTTAGCTGACTTTGCCTTTGACTGATTTAATGCTGTTCTTAATTTATAATGTCTGGTTTATGTTTTTTGTTTTTTGGGTGCCTGTCTCCGTTTTAGGTTGACTCCGATTTGCGTAAAGAAATCGGAGCGCATTAACCTGTGCCTTGCTCTTGAATTTCCTTCGAACAGGGCAAATCGAAACCCATAAACAAGCAGTATCTTCCCACTAATTTCGAGGCATTTTCAACTTGTCTGTGTTTACACGAAAAGTAAGCAAACCTAATATAGTTTTGGTATAGTTTATAAACAAACTCTTTTGGTTTGTATTTCCCCAAGAACTTTCGCGAAATATTTATTTAGAGAAGTAAAGTAGGATTTATATCAAACTTTTCCGAGTATTTTTCAAAGGGTCTTTGTTACTTTAAATTAATAAATTTTTGTTAACTGAGAAACTGAAATAGCCCAAGTAAAAGAAACTGTAATCGAGAAACTGAGCTAAAGAAACACAGCTAAAGATGATAAAAACTTAATCTTTAGCTTTAAACTTCCGTATAAACTTCCGGCCTGCGTAGTGCCACGTGACGTATTTATATATACTATATATATATTTTTTTAAATATTTATCAGGCACAAATTGCATCAGCAACGAGTCATTGACCAGATGTCTGATATTATTTATCTACCCAGAACAAGGCAATATGTATATAGATATATTTCTTTATCGGTTGCATGTGCAGCCCCACCTGACACGGCAGCTGACTAGCAAAAAAACAACACAAAAAAAAGACACAATTGAAAAAGATAATAATAAATGTTTGGCTAAAATACAAATTAGCTGTCAGTGATGATGACGCCCACAAGAAAAACCCGCGGCATTACGGGAAAACCAAAGGGAAAGCCGACCAAGAAAAAAAGCTGGCAAGGTACTACAACATATATACTGATAAATATATATATATATAATATTTTATAAATGTGGCAATTACCGGCTGAGCTTGACTTTGAAAACAGAGAGAGAGAGAGAGAGAGCGGGGGAGAGAGAGAGACTTTGATCGAGAGTCGAGCGTCAGCAGTGGCCCAGAAACCCAATTGGAGTACAAATCAGCCAAGTGCAGAGATCACACACCAGAACACACTAAATATATAGCATATGCATACACTCAATTTATGCACAGCATATCGAATTTCTGATGACTGGCCGCAAGTTATTTTCGAGGGAGATGCATTTCTTGTTGTTACCGCTTAATTTGCATTTTGTTCTTTGTTTCCCCGGAGACCTTTAAATTATTTCACTTACTTTCAAAAGGTAAATATATATACATATATAATATATATATATATAGAAAACCCTACAAAATTTACAAAGAATTACCCCTGAAAACCACAACAACAAAGCCATAAAAGTATATATGATTCAAATGAATTTCCCTATTTGTTTTTGGGCAATGCCGTCATTCCGTATACTATGGCTATGATTCAGACCCAGATATACATATATCTGAGATATCTGGAGGGACTGGCAAATCTGCCTAGATTGCAGTTGGCCTGGAATCTTCGGCCGGGGGCTTAGCCAGACCAGATAAGGCCGGATACTGCAGTTTAAAGCCCCTTTAAAAAGATATAGCAGATACCCTGTAAGTACGTATGACATTGTGTGTTTATACCATATAGCTGAGATTGCCATTAGTTGCCAGGTAAAGAATGCCTTTAATTGTCAAGACTTTTGCTGGATTAAATTGCCAGTAAATTCAACTGCAAGCTTCTAGATATTGTTTATATCAAATAAAACTAATAATAATAGTGTAGCATGTGGTATCAGTTTTTGTTTTACCAGTTGCCCACACATTTAACCTGCTAATTGAAGCTAAAATTAATACACTAGAAAACAGATGTAAACTTTTAACAAGCAAGCTCGGAACTAAACTTATTCTCTCTCATAACTCCCCAATAGGCAAACTATCCAAATCCATAGTCAAAACAAAAAGAAACTACAGATACCCTAGCACATTAGACAGAATCATCCACTCCTGCAAATCATTTTCCCTTCCATTCTCTCCCGCCAAATTCTACACGTCAAAAAAATACAATCCGGGAATAATTCTTAAAGCCACAAACACCTCCCTTTCCCTATACAACAAAAACACAACTTCACCTATAACATACCACCAGCTCTTCCACTCTATTAAAAACTCCCTACACGATCACAAATTCATTTACACAGACGGCTCAAAAACAAATGACACTGTAAGCTACAGTGTAACCAACAATACTGACATAATCAAATATGGCCTCCTTCCCCAGTACTCCTCTGTAATCTCTAGTGAGTTAATTGCAATCCATGAAGCTATAAAAATTTGCTCTGGTTCACCCGGCAAATATGCTATATGCTCGGACTCCCTTTCCTCAATCAAATCCATTTCAAACATAAACAATTACTCTTACTACCCTAATACAATAAGATCACTTATTACCAAACTCTTTCCCAAAATCAGACTAATTTGGATCCCTAGCCACATAGGTATACAAGGCAATGAGAGAGCAGACACAGCAGCTAAAGAAACACACAAATACCCTCTAATATTTACAGACAACTTCAACACCAAAGACATCACACAACTCCTTAAAAAACACTATACCGATAAACTGAACAGTCTTCAATCACAAACTACCCAATGGTACAAACAGATCTTACTAAACACCCCAGCAAACTTCTCTTTCAAAACCACAAACCTCAACCGACAACAACAAATTATAATAAATAGACTACGACTAGGACACACACAACTCACAAACGCCCATTATATGAATAGATCCCTAACAAGTATCTGTCCCTTTTGCAACACCTCAGCGATAGACATCCAACACATTTTAATAGACTGCACTGCACTTTCACATGTTAGAACAATTTGCTTTTCCAATGATAACCCAATCCATCTCCTTGCGAATCCAACAGCAGCAAACTCAAATAAAATTATATACTTTCTACACAAAATGAATCTCATACATAAAATTTAATTATAACATATTCCACACACATATCTTTGTTAATACACTGTAGAGCGGAAGGCCTCGGTAGCCATTGCTCATTATCCTTTGTTAACTTTTAGTTTATAACTATTAGTTAGCATTAAATAAATAAATAAATATAAGAATTCTTCGAGTTCCCTTTTTTTTTTATGTATTCCAGAACAATGCACAATTTAATTAAAATTCCTCAGGCAATACTCCCTACCTCCCTCACCATTAACCGATGTGTGGCAATCTATATAGCACAACAATTTCCTTAATTGCCGCGACAAAAAAAAAAGAAAAAATCATAAAAACTAAAGCAAAAGCGGGGTGGTGGGAGCCGACGCCCACAAAATTCATGGGAAGTGTCTGGCCCAGTTTGTCAGGGAGTCCGAGTCGGATATATCAGACACAGCCAGGGTCGATATAATAGGAATGCGTTCCAACTGGCCCGATCTGGCCTGCCGTAGATAAAACCGAAAGAAACTGATATGAAACTGCAAATTCATTAGCTTGTGAAAAGGAAAGACTTTAACATTGGTTGTTAGATATATATATATATATAGATATATTTTATATGGGTCGATTTATGGCAATGCCTTCGGTGTCTAGAGTTCACTAAAACAATTGGTTTTTGTCTTCAATTGTCTCTTCTCTATGGAAAATCTTGGGTTACTCAGAAACCTCCAAGAGTTCCAATGTCTTCTTAATAAACCGTTTCCTATAGTGTAAATTTTCTTTAAAAATGTATCTGATATGAATCAATATATACTCGATCAGCTTCAGGGTTGGGAGTTGACTAGGTCGCTTTGCTCTCGAAATTCTGGCAAATATCCGCAATATTTAAAGCATTTCTGGCGGGTTTCTTTGCCATCTCTATTGGTTATCCAGGGGAAAGGCATAATCATCACTGTTCCATTCAAGTCCTTGTGTTATTTCATCCAAGTCTAGGGATGAACCTTCAAGCGGGTCCCAATATGGGTCCAAGAGAAAGGCATAATCTTCACTATTCCATTCAAGTCGTTGTGCTATTCCATCCAAGTCTAGGGATGGCCCTTCATAATAACCCCAATATGGATCCAGGGGAAAGGCATAATCTTCACTGTTCCATTGAAATTGCTGTGTAACCGGGGAGGGACCTTCATATGAGTCCCACGATTGGTCCCCCAGCCCAATGAGACCCTCATAGTCCCATTCAAGTCCTATGGATGTCTCAACCAGAATACTTGAACACCAAGACTCAAACTCCTGATCAGAGCTTGCAGTGGTCCCTAATTGGTTATCCTGAGGAAAGAGGTCATCTTTGCCCCATTTAGTTCCTTGGGATGTCTTATCCTGAAGAATTGGTGAGCTTACCGGTTGGTTCTCCATCACGAAATTGGGATAACCGTATTTTTCAATGTTTTGCGACATCATTTGTACAGGTTAGTTGGATTTAAGTTTCATGAACAGTAAGGCTATGGTTGCTAGTTAGCTAAGTAGATTCGAATTCAAATTTGGGTTCTTCGATTTGGTAGTAGATATTTCTTAGCTCTGGGTGTCTTGGAAGTATTTCGGATAAATAATTAAGAATAATATAATTAAAGATCGTATAGTGTTTAAATCAAGAATGTATATTATCTGAGTTTCTTTTTTAATTGCTTTTATCTCTCTTTAATCCAAACAATACTTAACATTAAAACTAAACACAAAACATTTACTATATACCTTTAATAGTTCTTTATTATTAGGTAAATTGCTTCAATTAATTTGTGGCTGCTTTTAGTTTAACCACCATTGAAGACATTCGCCTTTATATGATTTAAGTGCTTTACATGAACCAGAAACATTGATGCTTCCACCACATGGAAGCCGCATTATTATTGCATTAATTGATCAGATCCCAGTGCCGCTTTAATTGTGAATGAGTCGATTGACTGACTTATGACTACAGTGAAAGCTTCCCCAGAAGATATCTCTTGTCGACCTTCTCCGCCTTCACTGAAGTATTCCCTGCCTTCGGTCACGTAGCAAAGTCTTTAATAATTTCTTTTGGAAATCATTATGAAACTGATTCTTATATATATTCATATTCATTCATCTTTACTCTATCATTTTGTACAACAGCATGCATAATCACAGATAACTTTACCAGACGAGTCTTCGTCATAATTAAACTGTTTACTTTATTTTAAAATTAAATACAAATTTGACAACTACATAAGTATATATAAAATATATTTCAAAAGGGCATACAAAATTTGCTATTCCAGATATCTTATGGTCGTTCTTCTCTCTCTGCTGGACTGCGCAAGAAGTGTGTATGTACAAAGAGACTATATATAGAAACTAAAGATGAAAACATTTAATTTATTTTCTTTTTTTGGCTGCTATCAATAAATTTTATTTATCTGTTGTTGCTCTTGTTGATTCTTCTCATTTTTTTTTTTTTTTTTTTTTTTTTTATATATAAAACAAAAGCATTTCATTTAATTGTTTCGTTGGAAGTGTGGAAACACTTTTTGTTTATGTTTTTCCGTATTTCCTAGGTTTTTGTAGGTTTTATTTCAAGGTTCTAAATGAAAAACACCTGTTTATCAGCGATTCCCCATTGATAATAAAATATAACTCGGACTGGATAACTCCTACAGTTGCCGGTTGGATATACCAAGCGAATTTCTAATGTGCATAGCCCACATACTACATACACAGAGAGAATTTTACATTAAATAAAAAGAAAGAAAATAACTGAATTTGAAAAGAAAGAAATCAATTCGAGAACTACAATTACAATCTAAAGGTAGTATAAAATACTGTAGAGGAGTGAGAGAAGTCTCTGAAAAAGGCAATAAACAATCTTCGTATTGAGAGCTTCTTACTTAATTCTAGTTTTCTCAGTGTATGTTATTCAAGTATGCAGGGGAAAAACACGTACGTGTGCACATGAGTTTTCCTCTGTCCCCGTCGCTCCTTTGGCTTTTCCCCATTTTATGCATTTTATTTATAGCCCTAGAAATATTTAGGGGGTGGTGGGGGATTTTTAAAGGGGATTGTGGGGTGAGGGGGCTACTTGCGGTAAACATATGTTTTTTGGCAACACCTACACTGAGCAAAATGTTAAATTAAAGTCTGGAATTAAATCTTCTCAACAGAATTTCGGAATGTTTACTTTTTTTTAAATTATATTTTAGTATATATATTTTTTTTTAATATAAGACCGATCTTGAGTGCTTTCTCTTTAAGTTAAATCCCAACTCAAACATATATTCATTATTGTAATCTAAATAATTGAATAGTAATCATTGGAAGGTTTACCCAAAGCTCTACTATTATTTTGGAAAATTGTAGTGTACTCACTCGAAAATGTTTTTTTTGGCCGCTTCTGATCTTTGTCTCGTTCTCCTCCTCACGCACTGCTCTCTCTCTTTCTCTTTTTTGTCTCACTTGTTTCAGGTTTGCGATTCTCCGCCTCTAATGCTGCCACTTTATTCACATTTGGGGAGCACCAAAGAAAACCAAACAAAATAAAAACAAAAAGGCACAGAAAATGTATCTTTTTTGAATTTGAAAATTATGCACGCGCTTGCTTCAATTGTTTTTTGAGGGATTTATTTTTGTTTTATTTTTTGTGTTTTTTTTTTTTTTATTTCGGTATTTGTTATTATTATGTTTTGATTATTTGCGGCTGCGGCTAATGAGATCGTTGGCACAAATAATTGCTGCAAGTTGAACGGACTTCTTCTGGGAGGGAATTCTTTTGGGCCTTCTTCTGTTGGGATTCTACTGCTTTTGGGAGAGAGTGTTTCCCTTTTTGCGCCGTCCTATCGGTGCTGGCTTTGGGTGTACTCGTAGTGCTCCTTCCTGAAATTGGGATCCTCGCCGCGCTCAGAGAATACCCAACGCCTGTGCACCATTACAACAGATCTTCCAGGCGATCCTGATTCTTCCCTCCCTCGACAGGATTCGGATTAGGCTACAAACTCTTTTCCCGCTCTCCCCCCTGTTCCCTGGGCGATTCGCTCTCCCAATCTCGTTCACTGAACTTTGGAACACGACGAAGATATTGCGACGACCGGTCTAAGAGCAGGAACTGCCTTCATATACACATCTCGCGTATATAGAATTCAATTTTTGTTATTTTCTGTCTTATGTCTTGTGTTTTCCGCCTTCAGTTCCTCTGTCTTCCGTGCCTCTGTTTATCTTTCGGATCGCCGTGCCGTTTCTTCTGCGGACTGAATATCGAACCAGTGACGAAGAATGCTGAGAAACAACTGCGAGATCGCCGATCCGCGGATCGCAGAGCTTTTGCTTCGACTCTCTCTCTCTCTGCCGGCGCCAACGTCTGCGTTGGGGTCTTCCCCCATTGTGGTTGTTTTTGCTTTTGCTGATTGTGGGGAAGATGCTCTGAGAGTTGCAAGCTCTCCGTGCTCTGCTCTCCCCACACTCCACACTAGAAATTAGTGATGACGGCAAGATGCTGGGGAACGGTGATCACGGTGAAGAGGTCACTGAGAGTGGTGCCAATTCGTTGTCTTTTCTTCAGACAGACTTGTACATTTGTTAAGTGCTCTCCACAAGAACTCGAAACACAGCAGTCACGTTCCAGGTAATCTAAAATTGTTCTAACATTTTGGAAAAGGTACCCGAACAAGGCTACTTTATTTTTACCAGTGTAGTAATATATACTGCACAATATTGGTTAGTATTACTGTAAGGTAGAAACTTATACAATCTTGTATGAGGCCATTTAAAATATACTTATACCTTCTACACAAATTTAGCTTGAGAAGAAGTTTTTTTAAATACCTCAAAATATCATTGCATACTTCTAGGCATATTCTAAATGGTTTTGAAATCCCAGTGATTTCTGAAACATCACCAAATTGTAAACTGATAGCAAAAGAATTCTCTTTAGGTTTTGTGGAGACCCTAGAAGTCACAGTGACGACAATCACTGGTAACGATAGCTTCTCTGTCGTCGACTGCTCTACACAACTAGTATTGCTGTCCCGCTTCCGCTCTGGCGCTCTCTTTCGCGCGCACTGTAGGTCACCGATGATTAGCCGAAGTGTGAATCGTGACGCCGAAGAAGCCGAAGAGACCGCCTTCGTGCCTTTTCTCTCTCGCTGTCTCACTCGCTCACAGCCGTCTGCTGATAAGAGATGCCGTTATCTGATTGCCAATGTGACACATTGAGGCGACGATGGGCCAACGCTTGTTATTGTTGCCGCTCCAGCTTTATGATCTGCACACGCACACACGAAAGCTAAATGGACTGATAAGAAGAGGTGTCTTCTGTCCCCTGTCTTCTGGCTCCCTATCTTGCGACTCCTTTATCTGCCACATATTGTGTGCGGGACAAGTGATACAATTTTGCACTTACCTTTATTTATTTGAGTCTTTTTTTGTTGGATAGTTTGCTCTCAGAATGGTTAATTGGGCTTAGCATAATCCTGGGATTAAGTTTTACGATATCCGCGGGGAGTTTTTTTTGTTGGGAAACCAGGGGAAGTCTGAAAATCCCTCAAAGATTTCACAGAAATATGTATTTAGGACCCTCAAAGATTCTTAATCTCAAATTTTAGAAGAATTTTAAAGTTGATTAGATTTGGAATAAAGCTATAAGCTTTATTAAGAAACATTTAAGACGCTAAGCATTTGTGTTAAAAGGAATCCCGACTGTACCTTACCTTTACTGTTATCAGAAAAATACATTTTTGAGAATCTGTCAAACTTGAACAATAAAACCCGATTGCGTCATCCAAATATTATTTTGTATTGTACTAAACTCGTGATCTGTGGAATTAAAATAAATGTGGGTCAATGGATTATCGCTGCCCTGAATGAGACGCCAAATAGGCAATTACCCTGGGATACCCGGGGGGTATGTGGTTAGAGAGAGACAGCTATATAGGTATAAGTGAAAGAAAGAAATAGAGGACAGGATGATTTGCTATACCGTTACACAGATAGTTCGATGAACACATGAACCCATGAGTGCAATGACTCTAGAAATAGATCGAATCGGAACTCATTTCCAGGTAAAGGCAGTCAAAGAGAAAGAAAGAGACAGGAGACAGCCCCATTTAAGGTTTTACAGCAAAAACGTGATCAGCCTGGTCCCCTTTTGACCCCCTCCGTAGCCGCCCAACGACATCCCCTTGAAAGCTGAGTCGGAAAAACTTGTGCAAAATGCTGGTCACGTCCCAAGTCTCTGTATCTGTATCTATAGCTGTAGCTGTATCTGTATCTGTATCTGTATCTGTATCTATAGCTGCCTCTATGCATCTGCCGCTGGCCGTTGAATCTGTATCTAAGCCGAAAGCCCTGCGAAAGCCAATTAGATAAGTCTTGGCCATATTCCGGGAGACAAATTGATAACAGAGACACCGCTAAACTTTACTGCCGCCGCTCTGCGGGACGGGAAGTCGTTTGAGCTTAGGCCGGCTTATCGCAGCCTCGCTGCTAAAAAATAATACAAAAAATACTCTATACTCGTAAGGTAAACAACAGAGGGTGCGGTTATCGCGAAATGTGGGCGGTGGGAGGTTTAGGGGGAGGTAATATAATAAGCATTACTATCCGGAATCTAGGGTTTAGGGACGATTTGAAGGAGAGAATTCTGGGATTAACTTAAATACCTTTAGGTACATAAATCTAAATTATTGGTTGTTTTAGCAAGGAAACTCTTATTTTGTATCAGCATCACCAGGCAAGTCGATCTAGCAATATGCGTTTTGCCAACAAATTTTTAAAAATAAACCTGATAACATAAAACTAGAAAATAAATAAATAAATAAAAGAATAAGGTATATAAAATATTTTATACATCTTTTGCCATAAATTAATTTAAAAAAGAAACCTAAACTTGAGCCAAGTCATAAAGAATAAAGAAAACGAATACAAAATTACACTATTTTGTTGACCCAAGAAAAGTGTTTTCGCTTTAGTTAGTTAGCGTCTCAGTTTTAATTGTTTCGTTTTAAAGTTTGTTTGTTCGCTTCTTTTTTTTTTAAGTTTTTGTTGCTTAAATTGCGCTTTTATTTATTTGCTCGAGTTTTGTTTGAATGTTTTTGTTCTTTTTTTATGTTTTGTTTTTCTTGCTGAACAATTTACAATAAACGCGGCCACTTTTTCTTAATAGTTTTCCTTGCTGGCGATTGTTGTTGTGTTTTGTTTTGTAATTTATTTATTAGTTATTGTTTTTGCTGTTACTTTTGCTGCTGTTTTAACCTAGTGTGTGTGTGTATGTGTGATTTGTTTACAAACAGACACGTACATATGTATATCGAATATTTGTTTGATTATTTGAATTAATTACTTTTCACCAACAGATAAAGGGGGATTTCTTTTGGTTTTCTTTTAGTTTTCCATCGAGTTGATTTTGAGTTTTTATAGTTTCTGCTACATTTAATGGAAATTTCCTTTTGGTGGGGAGTAGGAAAACAGATGGCCAACAGTCCCTATATATGTATGTATATGTATATACCCTATAATCTGGCAAACGATAACAGTGGAAAGCCGAAAGGAAAGTATTACAGACACTGACGTTGGTTTCTTCTTCTGGTTTTCCTTTAGCTTAACTTAGTTATTAGCTTTGGCTATTTGTTTTGAAATTGATTTAAATTTTTTTTTTTCACTACCAACACACAGACGCACATCGAGATATATGGTGTATATCGTACTTTATAGTTTTATCTTTTTTACGTTTTACTCTTTACTGTATTCTTGTATACTTCATACATACATACATTGTATATTTATAGTTATTATTTTTTCGTTAATTTGTAGACACCATTTACATATATACATATATCTGGATATATGTATATATAAACGTACAGTTACAATTACAGTTACAATTAGATAGACACACACAAGGAGGCCGATGCACTGCGATCCTAATTAAGTACTTTAATACACCTTTAATGCTTAGTTAATCGTCTTTAGGGGATACTCTGCTCGATCTCTCTTTGATTATTTTTTTTCTTTGCCCAAAAGTAGGCAGCATGAGTGCAGGAGAGTATGCGTGTGTGCAAATTACATGTGTGTTTGTGTGGTGTGTGTGTTTATGTTTTTATTTCTAAATTTAGTTAGTTTACCTTTCCTTTGGCTTACTCTAATTCTAATATATATATATATTATATATAATATGTAGCTGCTGTTTATCTATTTTATTCAAACAGCTGCGGTCAAAATAACTGTGGTATTGGATTGTTTTTTGTTTTATAATAAGTATTCTCTTGAAGAGCTGTCTATTTACAGTTAGTATTCAGAAAATAAACAGTAAAGGCTGTCCGATTTGGAACTTAACGAGTTAGTGTTCTTTTTCTATATACTATATACTTCCTTTATAGTAAGTTTTAAGATTACGAACCTACAGATGATTGCTTTTAATATATATATAGATATATATATGTATGTAGAATTTTCGCTTGTAGTTCCAAATGAAATCTCGATCCAAGTTTTAGTTTAGTTCAAAGGATGATTGCTTAATTGCGTCTAGGAAATACATACTTCAACGATTACATTGACCGCAGCTGCCTGGGTATTAGGTATTCCCGAGGGGGTAAGCCTCCTCCATTCCAATTTTCTTTATATAATCATCTCGATTTTGGTAGAGAACCAAGTCCGGCAGTTACCCTATATAGTTGTGGACTCGTCGCACCGCCTAACCCAGTTATTTGTTTGTAAAGCTCTCGTTTTTCTAACCTCCTATAAGCTATCACACCATTGACCCTATCTATCCTAAGTCTCGCATATCCTGCCTCCCTCCGAACTTGGCTCTCTTTCCGCTCTCTCACTGCATTCTATTCCCTCTCTTTCCTCTCTCTCTCTCTCTCTCTCTCTCTGTACGTTCTTCTAAACATAATTTATGCTAAACATTTACTAGAAACAAAAGCATCTCTTTCCCGCACATACACTGGGCCCAATTGAATTGTTAGTTTTCTCCAATTTCAACGATATGTGAGTGTGGTGGTGTTCCTGTGTGTGGTGTGTGTCCTTGTCCTTGGGTATGTGTGTGAAAGAGAAGGAACGAGTAGAAGTACGATAAAGGAACTTGGTCAAAAGTATTTTTCTGGCTGAAAAGCTGCGCCGATGATGGATTTGCCGACAAAAGGTTTCCGACATGACTCTGTTTTTGCGTTTTAAATTTCGATTTTGGTTCCGGTTTCGGTTTCGATTTCATTACTCTTTCAATTCATAATTCAACTAGCTTTTAAAATTGTAGTATGTTTTCCGTGTGGGAACCCTATTTGTTAAGGCTAAATTACTTATTAATACACATACATAGGTCTTAAGATTTGGATTCTCTGCTGAAATACTATGTATTAGTGGGGTTTTCGGTTTTTTTTTTTGGTTTAGTTAACCTTAAAGATTTGGCTTTTGCATCATATTTGATCGTACTTTTGTTGGTGTTTTCGGTTACAATGGTTTTGCTTCTTCGGTTACAATAATAATTCGTATTTGCTTGTATAATTAGTATGAATACGAGAATAAGGTCTCGGCGGTTGTTGGTGTTTCGTCTTTCGTCTTAAACTCTGCTTGTGCTTTCGTTTTCGATTAATTTATATTCAGATAGTTGGGCCGGAATCCTTAGAGATGTCAAAACATTAATTGTGCAGCTGCAAAGTATGCAATAAAAAAGAAACGAAGAGTTTGTGAATTCGAAATCATTATTGTGTTGGTTGTAATTTCTACTCGTTTCTTAAGACAAACGCTAAACCTAACCACACAGAATCTACCTCAAACTATGTCCATCCATGAATAATTTATAAATTTGTATTTTAAAATCTCTAAGGATACCGATACAACTTTTCATATTTGGTTTTTGTCTTCTTATTCGACCCTTTGGCAGTTTCTTATTTTCATCTTAAGTGGCGTTTGCTTTTCGTCTGATTAGGAGGGAGACAGCTAGAGAGTGGTTTGGGAGGGATGAGGGACAGGACTAGGGCCTGGGATTTGGGATCTGGAATGGATCTGAAAGTCTGCGGGGAGACACGGGCTCCGGAATGCAGCCCGGTGGGCACGTTGAGGTAACAAAATCAATCAACAAACAATCTTTTAATTATACAAATCGCAAAAAAAAAAACACTTTAAAATCGAGAGAACACGCGACACAGTGGCAGCTAATTAATTAAATAAGTAACAACGTTTAAGTACATACAAATGATGTTAGTTACCGAGTACTGAGTACCCAGCAGCCAGCACACCCACTACCGGGTGCGTAGTTCCAAACACAGTGTGTAAAGTAGTCCCCTACCCAAAGTCCTTAGTCCTAGTCCTAGTTCTAGTACGATTCCGATTCCGAGTTCGATTTTCGATTTCTGATTTCTTATATCCGATTTTCAATTTCCAATTAGTTCCGATTGTTCCAAAGGGCCCCTGCCTCAGCCCACTGCCATGACGGGGAGTCCCCGGAGCGTGTCTCAACGTTTCACCCCGAACAAATTCGGTATGGACTTGATCTTCTTCCGCGAGCAGTTCAGGTAATCCTTGTACATGTCGGAGCGCAGGTAACGCGAGTACGAGTCGCTCTTCATCAGGTGATAGACATGCGAGGCCGCCACATCGAAGCACCAGCGATTGGGTCCGTTTGGGGAGCTGACCGCCTCGCGGGCCAGCTCCACCGACTTGGAGTCTACATTCACCGGACAGGGGGCATCGGGAGCAAGGAACTCCTGCCAAATCTTCTGTATGGCCTCCTTGATCTCCGACTGTGGCAGCGCCTTCATCTCCTGCACCGACTCCCAGAACCTAAGGGCAGAAAGGGAGTATTACCTAAATCTAATGAATTAATGTCTCCTTCACTCACTTGAGGTTCTCGCCACTGTACTCCTTCTCCAAGAACTTGGTAAACTGCTCGCGTCCAATGGCATCGTTGAGCAATTCCCGCAAACTGAATGCCCAGCGCTTTACGCGCCGTACAGGAACTTCTTTGCTGAGGGGGCAGAGCGAATAAATTTGCATTAGTTAAAGCTCTACTTTAATAGTTAATTATCAGAAATTGTAGGTTCAATAAGCTGAACTATTTTAAAAGGCTTGATGTGGTAAAGTACATTTGGGTTTTAGTATCCCAATTATTTCCTCGCCCTCTCTGGAGCTTTCTCGATTGCGCCAATTTGAGAGCCTTAAAATCTAGAGATTGTATGCAGAATGGCCGATCTAGAATGCTTGAGAATGCGTGGCTCTGGAGCTCTTTCTCTGTATGCCGTTACGTATCTTATTCTTTTTACTGTCTCTGGTTAAAAACACATTAACTATATTTAAAAAAAAGTGGAAAATTATGTGAAGCTCGTGTTTTTCTATATTATTATTCTATATTTATTTATTCTAGGTGTTATTTGGGTTTCTTTTAGACACTTTTCATGCACATACTATTAGATTTATTGAAAACTCACCTATTTTTCTCCGTATCCCACATTTCGGTGCTGTCCGTTTGCCAAGGATTCGGCAGCTCCGGCGAGGTAATAAAGTAATCAAACTCATTGTACTGATCGTAGTAGGCAACCAGACTGAAAATAATACATAAAAATATAAAACAATGATTAGAAAATTTAGAAATTGAGGCGCAAAATACATATTATTTAAGATTATATCAATTCAATTTAGTTTTAAGTCTAAGTCTATTAGCCAGCCTCAATGAAGCTGTAAAGACCTGATACTAAGCATTTTAAAATTTACTTTAATTGATTATTTTGAAAATATTTATATTTATATTGTATATTATTTATATTTTATAAATTTCCCAAGATTAATAATTATAAATCTGACACTGAAAAGTTTTCCTAATTTAAATAAATGCATTTTTAGATTTGCTTTGATTAATTTCAAATTTGATCTCCTTGATTTTCTGGCAAACTCCAAGGGATATACACACTTTGGCTTCCCAAAATTAGCTTCTTGTATCTTGTACCATCAATACTTACGCCTCGGCCGCCTTGGACACTTTGATTGTGCGCCGCTCCAGCTTCTGTTTGCGCAGGGCAATGATCCGCGTTAGTTGCTCCACGGGATTCTTGGCCAAAGAGGCGCCGGCGGAACCGGTGCCGTGGCTGGAGCCACCCCGCCGGTAGGCCTTTTTAATATCAATCTCGGTGGTATTAACACAGCCGGGCATCGGTCGGTGTACGTCCCAGAAGGCCCGCTCCTGTGAGTCGAGCACCTTACGCTCCAGCTTATCCCGTTTTTTGGCCACCTTGCTCTGCGATTCAGCCTGATAAAAATTGTATTTGAATTTTAGTTAAATATTTAAAAAATACTTTCAATTAAATATAATGAAATAAGTCAAGTGCTAAAATTTCTAACAATTTATGTTTAGATTTATGTAGTAGTAATTTGAATTTATACAACTTTTAACACACCTGCATGAAAATAAACTCCCATTTACGGGAGAACATCTTCTGCAACTTGGCCAGATTTTCGGCCTCGTAATCGGCCAACTCCAAACGCGTTTTATTCTGCATTGTGCGTTTGCAGAGGTAAACGGCATAGTCCGTGTTCTCGGGCTCCCAGCAATTCGAGGGCCAAAAGTAGGGCGTCTGGAATCTGTGGCGATTAAGAATGTAGGGTTTATCGATATAGGTAAGTAACCTGAATCTTGATAACAGAACTCCTAATGTTTATATTAATAATCACCTGTAGAAGGTGCCGTCATTCTTGACGGTCAGCGCATGATCATCGATGGGAAAGATGTAACCGTGGGAGCTGAGCAGGTGGGCAAAGTGCAGGGCCTCCGTCACGTCTTCCACGTCAAAGTTCTTAAGTATCCAAGCCACCAAGTCCGCTCCGGTGAAAACCGATGGCACCTTGCTCATGAATGCCTTCACCGTGCGCACGGCCACGCCCGTCGTCTCCGCCTGCATTTTCTCAATGATGGCCTCCATCTGCAAATAAATTAAAGATTGATAATAAAATTAAGATTAATATTAAAATTAGCATAAATATTATTACAAAATATATATAAATTTTTTTTAGTTAAGCTCTTATATTTAGGCCAAAAACCACAGGCTTGAAATGGGCTTTATTATGATGAGTAAATGTCACCAAACGCATCGATCTAGACATGTGTGTCTTGCTTATACGAAAAACGTATTAATTTAACAAGAAAGGAAGCTACTTAAGGATGCCAGAGAACATTTGTAAATCGGCATTTGACCAGAATAACGATAATTAATTCTATATTTTTACATTGTGAAGTGCTTAAAGTCCAATTTCCTTGCTACATAGCACAAATATAATACGAATAAAAGAAACAAATAAATAGCATAACACTTTCTTTTATAATAATAATAAATTTAATAATATAATAATATATAATATCATATGAATTACCTTTTTGTACACTAGAATATTGGGTGCATCTTCATTTTTGCCGCCTCGCTGCTGCGACGCCGACGGCACTGCCAGCGTCGTTGATGACGATGGTGGCGGCTGCTGCTGCTGCTGCGCCTGCGACGCCGACTGCGACTGCGACGACGACTGCTGGTGGTGATGGTGATGATGATGATTGGCATTGACCGTCAGCAGGCCGCTACTGGCGCCGCTCTGCTTGCCGCTGCCCGTTGAAGCTGCCGACGCTGACGCTGCCGCTGTCGATGAGGAGGGGGTGGTGGAGGTGGTGGCATCTGCATTCACTGTTTTCGCAGGTGGCGGAACAGCAGCAGTAGCAGCAGGTGGAGCAGCAGGTGTTGTCGTGGCCACCGCTGTCACCGCTGTCGCTGCCGTTGCAGGTGCAATTTTCGGTGATGCTCCTGCTGTCGCCGCCTTGGGCGATGTGGTTACTCCTCCAACTGGATTTGATCCTCCACCCACCATTGTGACCGCCACCGTTGCCTCGTTCTCCACGAAAGCCACATTGTTATTGCCATTGGTTAGGGTCGTGGTGGCGGCGTCGCTGCGATGCGGAATCGCTGCCAGTGGATCGGTGCTGCTGTTGCCGCTGCAGCTACTGCTGCTGCAGTCCGCCGTGGGTGTACCTGCTGGGGGGGTGGCTGCCAACGTCGCCGATACCTTTGTCACCGCCTCTGGCTCGGCCGGCGTCGCTGCTGCTGGCTGCTTGGCGGGAGCACTGCTGGCATTGGTGGCTTGTGTTTTGTCCGCCTCCGAGTTCATCGTTACCATCTTTGAAGGATCGGCCGTTGATATTTCCCTTTTTCCCCCAGAGCCTTGGCTATTTTTAAACGCAGTGCCGGCTGCTCCAAACACGAAAAAAACAAGGAAAAAATGGAAAGCGAGAGGAGCTGTTCCGGTTGAGAAGAGTGGAGGGGGGGGGAGGGCGGTTTGCGCTGGTGGTGTTTTTTCAGCTCAGGGAGCTATTTTCGTGTGTGCGTGTGTGTGTGTGTGTGTGCAAATCAATTTGTTGGCTGAGAGCTCCAAAAAGGAAACGGAAAAAGTTGTTCAGTTGCTGGCTGTCATTTTGTTTTTTTCAAGGCCATTTTTCTGGATTTTCGCCGTTCTGCTGATCCTTTAGCAGTTTCTTATAGTTTTTCTTGCGTTTTCCTTCCTTGACTTTCCCTTTCCTTGAATTTTTCGCTGTATTTGTATATGTATGCAGAAATTTTCAGGAGTTATGGCAGCCTCACACACACACGCACACGCACTCGGTTTTTGTTGGATATTTTTTCGAATATTTATGCCCCGAGCTGGCTTCCTTTAATATTTTCCTTATTTTGGTTTTTACTCCGATTCCTTTTATTTTTTGGGATTTTTTAAGCGCAGTTTATCCAACGTTTCGTGCTGTTCCTCCGCTCCTCTTTAGCCGTTTCCGCTGCTGTTGCTGTTGCTCCTTGCTCCTTGCTCTCTCGCTCGCGCACTAGCCCTCTCTCACTCGCGCGCGACGTGTTTTTTACCTTTTAGCCCGTAATCATTTTACGGCCCAAAGTCAATCGGCTCCTTGGAGCTTCCTGCTGATAGTCCTTCATCGATTTTTTTGTAATTCCCACCCCGAAGGCGCTCTCTCTCGGGCACTCTCAGCCGCTCTTTTCGTCCTGCGCCAGCGCCCCTGACGTTGTTTACATCCGCCAGCTGTTGGAGTTGCCACCTTTTGTGCGGTTATCCTTTGAGAGGTTCGAATTTATCGAAAAAAATCGATTTCTTTTAATTATAGTTTAAAATACAATTGGGAGATAGCGAGCGAATGTTTTTATGAGACTAAGATTCACAATAAGGATATTTGATTTTTAAGGTTGAATATAAATTTTAGTTTTAACGTAAGTGTAATAACCCGTTACACCCATCCCTGATTATAATAAAGTCCCGACCACGAATATCCCAAAAAATAATGCAACTAAAATAGTTTGTGGAACAATATGTGTTTTTATTAAAATGTAAAATTATATAACTCCGTCCGACGCGCGAAAATCGAATATATTGATATTATTGGTCCCATATAATTACATATTTTTACATTTTGCTTCATTGTCTTATTTGAACAATAAGAATTTGCTTCTAAAAAATTTATTTTTCAACGATTACAATTACAAAAAAAAAATAGAATACATTTAATCCGATTAAATATAGCTATTATTCGTATGTAAAACGTACATGCATAGTTTTTTTATTAGTTGCATATCGGTATTTTAACTTATAGTGACCTTAGTTGTTATGGCTTTTATACAAAGTTTTGCAATGATTTTGGAAAACATTCAAAAACGAATTACAATAAATAGAAAAAAATAATACATGGTATGTGCAGGATATATCTACGCGAAGGATTTTCAAATAATATCCTACAGATATCGTTAACGTATATATGTATATGTATATGTAAATATATATATATATTTTTTATTGCCCCTAAGACTAAGTGTATCGCTCGAATAACTACGTATATCTGAATTATCTGGCGCACACTCTATATTTATTTACATAGGTTTGAGAGTATATCTGTTTATGTACGTATTTATTTATGGTATAAATATGTGTGTTTGTGTGTTGCTACGAAGTCAGCAATAGGCGATATCCCGTTATCAATTGTCTTTATCGATATCGTGTTATCGAAGTCCGCTATCGATAGCAAACGAGAGGATGGGCAACAGGATCAAATCGGGGTTTATCCTACATGACCAGCTATACGTAATGTAACTAATTGTAATTGTTCAAAGTAAAACTCAAAATAAACTCGAATATAAAACCAGAGTCAAAATTGAATAGGTATCGATGAAATCCTGGAAATATAGGATTTTTAATTGATTTTGCTTTCAGGCAAAAAATAAAACTCCCAGCTAAGAAAAGGAAATAAAAAGTAACCTAACTAATTAAATACTGGAAATAGAACAAGTCAAAAAAGTGAAAACTGAATATACATAGGAGATAAAAACTATATTTAATATAAAATGGTTATTACATAAAAATTTCGATTATATCCAGACCACAATATACGAGACCCTGTCAAAGGGGAAACCATTATCTGGCGAAAAGTTGACAGATTTCCATTTTGCATCGATAGCGGATTGGGCTCCCTATAAATCACATGTTGACACTACGTTTATCAATGACATAGAAACCACCATTATCATGATGATGGTTGTGATAACGATTATTGTTATTATATAAAGATTCTATTGGGTCGATTGTGTGCACAAAACACCAACAAAATGACAATTCGTAGGGCGAACTTTTAGCCTAAGAACAATTTTTTATTACATTTTCAAAGGAATTCTTGATCCTGACCATAACTTTGAAAATTTTTTTTTGAATTACTACCAAAATGATTATTTAAAACAGTGGTTCGTGTTGTGTTGCAGAAAATGATAGTAACATTCCCAATCACTTTGGTCACTTTCTGTAATATTATGGTGTATTGTAATGTTGATGTGTAATGGTGTATTGTAATATTTTAATGTAGTATATAAGTGTAATGTATATTGGTGTACTGTAATGGTACAGTGTAATGATGTAATGTAATGATGCAATGTAATGTAAAGTATTGGTGTAATTGGTGAATTGGTGAATCGGTGTTATCGTGTTATGGTGTAAATATTATGATGTATTGTAGTGCTGTAATGTTATTGTTCGGACCACTGATCTAAAGTACACCCTTTTGGGGATTATATCTGTGTTGGTTTCCATTTCGGGCAGGATCTGCCCTCACTTACTCTCTGGGATAATATTACCTCACACTTTGATCCCCCGTCTATGATAGGTACTCCCTACTGATGCTGCTCCCGGGAATGCCGCACTGGCCGATCCCTATCTCGATCTCGCTCCCGTTCCCGCTCCCTTTCCGACCACAAAGGCTGGCCACTCTGGGCCTGGTATGACAGTGGAGGTGGTGGTGCCGCCAACTGGGCCTGGGGCACCAGCTCCGCCTGCGGATTGAACTGGTTGTTCGTGTTGTAGTTGACCAGGATGTCACTGGCCAGACTGTGGCCGTAGTTTACGCTCCGGTCGGGATATCCCTGGTTCTGGGGCTGCACCTGGATGGGCTGCGATTGCACCTGATGCGGCTTTCCGCTCCGCCAGTGCTTGTGCTGGGCCACGGGCACCAGTCGGTAGAGGGGCTCCGCGGCCGGACCACTTGGATAGCCATGAGCATAGTACTGCGGGTACTGGGGGGACAGCGGGAGCGGAGGCCCATGTGGATGTCCCTGTTTGCTGCTGGGCCGCACGCGCTTAAACTGCGGCGCTGGTCGCTGCCAGAACTGCAAGGGATTCCCTTGGAGCGGAGCCGGTGGACGGAGCTGGGGATCCTCCGGAAACTGCGGTCCAGGGGTGCTGTAAATCTGCGGCTCGAAGACTTGCTGCTGCTGTTGCTGCTGCTTGCCCACTCGGAAGTGCCGTCCGGGCAGATAGGAATCCGGCGGCGAGGCATCCAGGCTGGGCTCCAGCTGCAGCTGCTGCTTGCCCACCCTTAGGTGGCGCTGCCTCTGACCAGGTGGCTGGTAGACAATGGCCTTGAAGGCATTCTGGTCCTGCTCGTCAGCACTGTAGTTCACCATGGGCAGAAAGGGCTGTTTGTCAAAGTCGGGTGCCTGGTAGGGTAGCAAATATGTAATTTAAAGGATATAAAGGTTAGCCTTAAGTTCTCACCTGGAATCTCCCAGAACCGCTTCCAGCCGGCGGCGAAACTAGATTGCTCCGCAGGAGCTGTCCCAGCGAGGCCTCGTACTCTGCGTGCAGCTGCAGCTGGGCGGTCCTCGGCTTGGGCGTAATGTTGACCACGTCGGCCACGTCATTAGAAGGACTTGGCGAAGCCTTGTAGTGCTGCAGGTGCTCCCGCTGATGGTGGTGATGGTGGCGCTTTGGTGGCTTGGTGGCCAAAAAGTCGTCAATGACATTGGACTTGATCGAGCCCGGCTGCCGCTTGGCCTCAAAGTACTCGTAGTATATGGGATTCGACTTCGAGAGCGGCGGGTCTAGCGGCGTGTCCTGGAGCGTGCTCTCCGTGGAGCTGGGCACGAACAGAAGCTGCGGCCGGGGCGTATAGTTGACCGGGTAGATGGGTATGGGCACGGCCACGGGCACTGGCACTCGCTCCACATAGCTGGTCGGTGGTGGACTCTGTCTGGGCGCCGGCGGCAGGTAGGTGATGGCGTTGTACTTGGGCTTGTAGGAGGTCCTAATGGTGGGCAATGGCACCGAAGGCCTGGCCGTGGTTGTCGAGGTGGTGGTTGTAGTGCTGGTGGTGCTACTAGTCAAGGTGGTACTGCCTGAGGCCGGTGGACGCCGGGTGGTCTCCAGTCGGCTGAAGTGATCTGGTGGCGGGGGAAGGACTATTCCCGGAACCAGAGGTCCCGGCGGCACTGGGTTCGAGTAGTTGCTCTTGTAGACGAAACTGTACGCCGGCGGATAGTACAGCGAGGGGTCATCCTCGTCGAAATCGCTGACATTGCCGGGTATTCCCGGGGAATCTCCTGTGAGTGACCCATTCCCATTCAGCCCGTTGATCAACCAGGGACCCAGGAGCGGCGGGGTCCTCAGCAGACTCCTGGACGGCCCCGTATCGTTGGAGTAGAGCAGCCAGGGGGCGTAGGGCGCCGGATAGACGTAGGCCGGGGCTTTCGGACGAGCTGGCTCAGGTGCTGCAGCCGGAGATTGCGCTCCCGTCCGGGCAGCAGGATGCGATGAGAGATTTTCGGCGGCGGGGCCCGCGTAGCCCTGGTGGTGGCCGGCCTCAGCGGATAGCGTTGCATTGCCAGGCGCCGGACGGAGGACCTCGAGTTGATTATCTCGGATAAGCTGCAGCGGCCCGTGCGGCTCGAGCTGCACGGGAAATGGAGGCGGCACCGCCGGATTGTCCGGCAGCTTGATCTGCCGCCCAGGCGCATCGTAGTCATCGATGGCAGGCCAAGGACCCTGCTGGTTGTCCTCCACCTCCTCGTTCAGCGCTCCGCCCTTGATCACCAGCAGATGATCCTCGGCCAGCCAGATGTCCTCCTCGTTCAGGCCGCCGTAGTTGCGCTCGTTGTCCAGCGGCACCTCGGAGTTCCGAGCGTAGCTCAGCACTCCCGGTCGCTTGGGCACTCGCCGGAACAGCTCCTTCTCGATCAGTCCATACTTTCCATCCCTCACTTGGTCGGCCAGGGTCTTCTTGGCCTCGTCCTTGGGAGGCTTCTTGGCCGGAGCCTCCGCTTCCTTGCCAGAGCCAGCACTCAGCCGCAGGATGCCGTTGTCCCAGTTATCGAAGTCGTCGGGTTCGTTAAGCAGAGCCTCGTCGTCGTCGTCGTCCTGCTCCCTGAAGCTTAACGGGACGTTGGATGCGGGAGAAGGTGATGCCGGAGACGGAACAGGGGGAAGTGGGGTTGTGGATCTGGAAGTGCTTGGAGGATGGCTGAATCTCGTAACAGCTGCTGGCGTGGTCGGTCTTGGCCTGACCGATGGCTTGGCCAGTCTGTAACTGCTGCTCGCCTTGCCCCTCAGGGAAGTCACTCTCGCCGTAGTCGTTGTCGTCGTCCTGGTTGTGGTTGTGTCTGGAGTTGTGGTTGTAGTCCTGCTTGTCGGGGTGGGCACAAAGCTGGAGGAGGAGCTGTTGGCGCTCACCGCTGACACCTCGTAAGTGGAGTGGCCCTGGGCATTGTGAATGTGGCCAGCCACCAGTCGCTGGATCATGCGCGGCCTGTCGAGGATAGAAGATAAAAAAAGCGATACATACATTACCTTAACCACAAGTAACTTACGTTTTTAGTGCGCCACGATTGATGCTGGAACTGGAAGTGGCACTGGCACTGGTGCTGGTATTATCCGCGGGAACGCTGAAGTTGGAGCTGGAACTGTACGACGGCAGTGCCTGCCAGCTGCGACGGATGCTGCTGCTGGCACTGGTCTCGCTGTCCAGGAGCGGCGTATCCCGAGGTTGGCGCAGTCCTCGCACACTCCCCCGATCCCTGGAGGATCGACCAGCTGCCTCAGCAGCTGCTGCTGTTGTTGTTGGTGTTTTTGCTGTACTGCTGGTGCTGCTGCGTCGCCGCTGCCACTGCCTAACAGTAGTCACGGGCAGCGGCGTTGTGCTGCTGCTGCCGCTGTTGCTGTTGCTGCGAGCGCTGCTGCGACCGCGACTGCGAACTGAGCTTACTATTATGTCGATCGACTGCGTCGTCGGGGGTCGACGCTGGCGTGGCGCCCGCAGCGTTGGCGCCTCAGTGCTTGTCGTTGATGCCACTCCTCCCAGGCCCAGGCCCAGTGCGTGACCCTGACCCTGACCTTGTCCCTGACCCTGACGCGGTCCTTGTAACTGTAACTGTAACTGTAACTGTCCTTGTCCTCTGCCGCTACGCTGCCGTGTCGCAGTCGCTGCTGTTGTTGTTGCTGTTGTCGTTGCCGTTGTGGGCGCAGGCGTCGCTGCCGTCGTCAGCGACGTCACCGCTAGCAGAGCTATAACTATCCAATGCAAGGTTAAGGATGCCATCTGGAAAATAGGAAGTGAGACGAATACTATTAAAATTTCAGCTATAATATTTATTTATTAATAAATTAAATTTTGATTATATTTATAATTTATTTTTAAATTTTATTTACTATCTTTTAGGAAATGAAAGTATGTATTGCCTAGAAAGTGATACTGAAACATAAAGCAATAGGGATATTTTTAATATAAATATCTATATTGACTTGTCTGTTGATGCTAATCAAGAACATACAATATATATATAATAAGGAAGGAAATGAATCCATCACAGCGTTATAAACACAAAATATGAAAATAGAAAAATCCCTGGAAACTATAGGTAATTCCTTCTCCAACAAATCGTATAATCCCCTCGTATCTTTAGCATTCCCCACATAAATCTTTCCAAAAATCCCCCCAACAATGGCTTCAACGTGAAGGTCTGAGCCACATTAGATCTAAACAGGCTCATTCAACCGTTAATCAATTGGAAATACCAAAAAAATATAAAGGAAAGACGATGTTGTTGTTGAGAGCACTTAATTAACATGAGTGAGCAGCAGCAAAAACAAAAACACGCTTGAAAATTTAAGCACGCGCCGTTTTACAAAAAAAAAAATAAAATAAAATAAAAAAAACCAAGGAAAAACCTGAAGTAAAAATCGTTTTTTCCAAAAGCACTTGAGCGCATCGTTGGAAAAAAAAAAGAAAGAGGAGTTTGCAGTTTCCAACAAACTCAAAGCGTTTGTTTTTCCGTCCGATTGCATAATTGCAAAATATATGAAAATAACTAAATCATGACGGGAAATCAAAGCAATGTCTGAAATGCAATAATAAAAAGAAAAGTAAAACTATCAAATAAAATTGAAAATGTAATTAAATAAATATTAATGGCGGAATTTAAAGCAATGTTGTTAGCTTCTAAAAGTTATCAAAAATGTAATTATTTTTTTTATAAACCAATGTCATTAACAATATTATTTTGTTTAAAAAATGTTGTTTAAAAATACGTAATAATAAATTATTACAAAATATCCTAAGCCTTACTATTCAGAAAATAAAGTAAACATTAAATAATATATTTTGTAAAATTAACCCTGATTTATTTCAAGTCATTCGTTGTACTTAGTTAATCAAGAAACCATGACAAACATTCTATAATTTACTTTCACAATTCAAATCAACTAATATATATTTTTCTTTACACTTTTCGAAAGCCTAAAGACAAGTAAAGTTCTTTATTTTCTAAGAAATATTTCCCTTACATTACTCCCCAATAACCATTCTATTATTCGTACCACCAAGTAGACCTTTTCGACTCGATTTCTGTTGCTTTATTTTGCAAAATAAAATAGAAATACTTGAATGGTCCGAAAGAACTTAGGCTTGCCCACCCATCAATTTAATACAATCCAATTCAATTCCAACCAACATCGCCCGTCACTTTCGACGCCCCGAAAATGCCAAAAGCGAAATCAAGGACAGAGCTTTGAAGAAATCGAATCATAAATAACACTTTACTTTTGCGTTTCTTATTTTTTTTTTGTTTTCTTGGCTTTAACTTCATTTTCAGCTTCAATTTCGACTTCTTGTCGCTGGGCATTACTCATACGCGCCGTGGCTAATTGACCAAAAAACGCGACAGGTTGAAGAGTTTTTTCTTTCATATAATATTTTTCTCTGTCGATTTTCTGAATACAGTGAAGACTTCATGAAGGGAAAAAATATATAAAAATATATAAGAATATAAAAAGCATAAACTTGCAATTTTTTCGTAAGAAAGAACTAAACTCTACTATTTATTTACAATTTCGAATATAATGAAAAGATTATTTAATTGATTTATTAAGTAATCAGTAACTTATAATTTATAATTTTGTTATTTTATTTATATATATTTTATATGATTATGATTTATTTTATTTTATTTATTTTAATTATATATTAAATTCTAAATAAAAAGTATAGTTAAATTACAAAATTATTATTTAAATTATCATTAATTATTATTAATTTTTATATTATATAAAAAATTGTAAAGTTATAAAGTTGAAATTCCAAGTATAAGTATAGTTTTTTCTTGCCTTAGTTTCAAGGTATTCTTAAAAGGTATTTATACATATATATATCCTATATTAATAGTTCACACTATCGTGTGTCCACTATATCTTACTTTTTTTTAGTTTTATTGGCGCCCACAAGTGCAGACACCAAATGCTTGGAGCATTTTTATTGTTGGGCGCAGTTGCCAAACCCCGAAAACAAAAAACAATGCAAAGTGCACTAACAAAAAAAGAGAAATATGCTAGCAGACTAAAAACAAAAACGAAAAACAACAACAACAAATAGAAACAATCAAATGGAACGTGATTCGAGACAGAAACTGAAACCGAGACCAACTAAAAACTGGACTGGGACTGGACTTTGGGCAGGAATCCGCTTTTGTGTGTCTTGTGCCTGGCGACTTGCGCCTGTCCACTGCGCTCCAATTTCTGGCTTTATTTAATTTTTTATTTTGTTTTTTGTTTTGTTTTTTTTTTTTTGTCTTATTTTCATTTTCATTTTGTCCGTAGAACCAGCAACAGCCACGGCAACGGTAACAGCGGCTGCCAAATTGTTGTTTAGCAATCAAAAAAGAAGTTAAAACAAAAAGCGGCTGGCCGACAGCCAAAATAAAATACTCTATAAATATGGGATCAATAAGTAAAGCTGCTTATTTGGTAAATATTTAAACAATATATAGCTTATATATCTAGGCTCTTTTTAAATTAATAATTTCAATCTAAAGCTTCTTTAAATAAGGAATTCTTCCACCAAAATGTATTAAAAAATGTTTTGAATGTGCCAAGGGTAAAATTAAATTGTTTTCAACCATAAATATAAAAGAAACAAATATTTAAAAAAAAGTTTTAAATATAACGAATATATTCTAGAATATAAAATATGTTTTTATAATTTTTTTTTTGGATTTAAGTCCGAATCAACGAAACAAGCTTTTTGGTTGCTAATATATATTTTAGTTTATTTTTCATTAATCATTTTTTGGAAAAATAAGTTTGAAAAATAAAGTATATTTCAAGTAAAATTTATCAAAACTACTTAATTTATAATATTAATTGATAGTTTGTCTTAATTAATAATATTAATACGTGGAATTTAATAGAATATATAAAATATAAATATTCTATTATTTTTAAATACAATTTAAATCTTTAAATATAAATAAAACAATTAAAATTCGATTGAAAATATTACCACAAAATATCACTACTTACATAAAAAAATTAAACTTTTAAATCAAACATTTAACAATCGCAACCTATATATTTTCATGTTCAGTTTGTACTGCAACATATACCATATCTTATAGTCAATGTACCTCACCGAATGCAGTTCACTTTCGGGGCGTAGAGTATCATAAACAGTAAATAATGAAAACTGTTCGCGTGCGCTGTGGTCGGTGCCTAACGGTGCCTGTAGTGCCAGCTCTCCCCCATGCCCCCAACTCTGCGATCTGTGATCTCTCCACCACCGGAGCCAACCAGAGATTCGTCATAGAGGCGACCACGTTCCAGGCCAAGCCTTGGAGTTGCCGCCAGCCACTTGAAGGCATTTTTCATAACCGCAACGAGGGTACACCAAAGTGGCTTAATTCTTAAATTATTTGGCAGTCCACAGGGTGCTTATATACATACACAACACATGTCCATGGATAATAGACAGAAAGTTGGGCAATAGTCCTATTATACAAATAATATAACAAAAAAATACTTTGATTTGTAATTAGTTTTACAAAGCAATTAATACAAATTATATGTTTATTATTTTACTAAAGATAAAGCCTTAATTTAGAGTATCTTTGTTCGGTGCGTCCTGGCTTAAACTGCCTTTCTTATAGATACTATACATATATATTTTTTTGTAGGCCTTTGTATATTGAATGAAAGGAAACACGCCGGCCAAAAAGCTATTGGCAATAAATAATTCTTTGTTGTTGCTGCTGCGCCTGTTGCTTTACTTAAATTTAATTAGATTATTTGAAAGCAGTTTGGGGCGATGGTGTCATAGATTAAATTGGACGTAATTCATTTTTTTTTTTCCTACGTTTTTTCTCATGTTACCCGGCTCAACATTATCTAATTGTTCTGGTTATTTTTCAGAGTTTCATGAGTTCTTTTAAAATATTTGGAAATTTTATAGAGAGATCTGATGTATATTTATATCCAGAAGTCAATGGACGCTTCGCTCTAATTAATCGCTGGAAAAAGAACAATAGAAGTAGCCGAGCAAAGCATATCCATTGACAAAGGAACCCCGAAAATAGTAAAATGAAATTTAAATAATAATTACAATTAGTTAATTTTCGGGTATTTAGTATCTAGAGCGGAGAGAGAAATTTTTCATGGCATTATTATGTAACTGAATAAACTGATTCCAATTAAAATTCAGTAACTTCGATTGGGCGTTGAGCTGCCACTCCAACCGAATTGGAGTGAAGGTTAATCGGCCATGGCCGATGATCGATAGGAATGGAAAGGTTCAGAGTGGACCAGGGATTATGGATAGTATAAATACAAAATATACATATATAATTTTTGTGGACATTGTAATAAAAAATGACTCAATGTAAATAGAAAAAAAGTATCAATTTATTAGTTATTATTTCTTAATTTGTAGAGAGTTTTGTAATACTTGTAAAAGTAATTGATAATTAATTAGATATATCATACAAGATATATGTACATCCTTAGTGTACTTTAAAACCTCATTAAATCTCAGTAAAATCATCATATTACTTTGTTCTAATTTAAATTATATTTTATATATATTTTATTCTATGATAAATATCTTTAAAACACCTTAATAAATTAAAAAGATAATATTTAAGTCTAATTAAAACCCCCCGCCCCCCAGGCACCTGATTTCTTAACCCAACTGAACAAACAGCACGGCCAGACTCAATACTGAGAGGCCTTAACATGGCGAAAAATAAGTCACTCGGCTATCGCTAGGCCAAAATCAGAGACAGGAAAAATAAAAAGCTAAGAAACAAAACATTGAGACAGAAAATTCGTTTGGCGTGGGGGCGAAATACCCTGGATACCGAAAAACCTGTGAGGTTGGGACATGCGCTGCAGGTTTACCCCGCTGTTTCCCGATCCAAACCGATCCGATCAGGCTCGCTTAGCATACAAACATATACCTACACTTATATATATATTTGTATATATAAATCTTTGCCGCCAAAGAGCCAGGCCAAATGGATTTTCACCTAAATATTTGAACTGTTGTTTCACTTTCGGAGCTCTCGCATTGGTCAGGAATTTTAAATAAATGCGATTTAGTTGTGCAATGCCTTTGCCTTACTTTACCTGACTTTGCTTTCCATTTGCTAACTGCTCTGCAGATTTATGTTAATAAATTTGGTTGTCAGAGTTGGTAGAAACTACAAAAACCGCTTTATAAATTAGAATTAACTAGAATGATGTGCTCTAATTAAATCTAAAAAAATTGAAACAATTGACTGAAATTTCTCTTTAATAAACCATAGACAATGAGCTATGAGTTTAATAAATTATTTTGATTAAAATCTGTGTAAATTCTAAGGGGTATTTCCTAGGCCTAAACTCTTACTGGCCTTGCATAAGGCTTTCCAAGAAATTGTTTCATTAAGCATTATCGGCGGTTTCTGTTTCTGTTTTATATTGGCAACGAACATCAAGAGAGGCAACACACTTACCAACCCAAGTCGGTGCTGCCATAAAGTACATATATATGGTACATATATATATTTCATTCTGTATTCCGTCCAGTTTGCTGTGAAAGCGAGAGTGGCTATGGATTTTTGTTGCTATTATGTGTAAAGTTATGCTCGACGCGTAACTGGGCCAGCAACAACAACAGCAAATAAGACCCACAACAACAACAACAACAACGAGAAATGTTTACAAAATATTCATTGATTTAAAAATGTGGAATTTCGTTGGGCTTCCCATTTATTATTATTTTGTTTTTTGTTTTTTCTTTTTTGACTTGATTGATCAGTCTGTATATGCAATGATGCAATTTACGAGGGAGTTTTTTGTTTTTGTTACAATTTAAATTGCATTTTCCACGACCAACGTCGCGTATGCGTAATATTCGATATTGCGCATACGTACCAAGAAATATCGATATCTTTCAATCGAACCTAACCCTCAATTAAGCGGAAATTTGTGTCATTTTAGATATCTTGGTTCGAATTCAAATTACACAGCCATAAAAACTCACTTAAATAAGGGGGGAAAAAATAAAAGCTGAACTGGGGGAAACTGGGCGTGGGAACAGCCAACCAGCCAGCCAGCCAGTGAACAACTTTATTATGCAAAGTGGCCAGAATGTCATTGCCCAGCCCCCTCAAGCACCAGTTCCCGGTCTACTATGTAGCTACCCTAATCCCCCATTCCCATCGTGATTAGACCCTACTTAGCCTATAAAAGACTTGGTTTTTAACTAATAAGACAGAGTCTGATTCGTGCCGAAAGGGTTTGGTTTTTTTGTGGGAACAGCATTAAGGCAATCGGAAATATATATAAGCCCAGCGTTTATTAATACTAAAGAAAGAAAAGGCATATAATTTAACAAATATTTGGGGGGTTTATGCTTCTCTAAACTGGCAATACTTGTACTTTTTGATTTGCAAATCAAGCTCCAAACGAAAAGCTATTTTCTTGACGCAATTGACAAATTTCCACTCGAAAACACCCTCCCCCCAACAAACGGGTGTGGTTTTTCCCAAATGTAAATCGCATTTTCTCCTTTGGGTTCCCGATAATCTATAATTGTAATTATAATTGCCAGTCACTCGGCTCCCCAGTTCAGGGAAGCCAATGAAAATTGAGCAACCGCACTTATGCAACGTTGCCGGGGTCTGGAGTGGATCGGAATGGCTCGAAATGGATCAATCCAATCTGGCAGAGTGCCACGCCCCGATCCCTCCCGGCGGCCCAGATCGCACGTCGCATATTTAGTTAGCATAATTTGCTCTCTAATTGTCACTGACAGTCGAAGAATGTGCGCTCCCCGTGGTGCCCAGTCGGCAACTGGTTTTCACACTGGCAGAAAATATTTGTTGTATTTTAAATATATGAATTAAGTAGTAGGTCAGTTGAAGAGTTTAAAAACAAAAAAAGGTATGCTATAACTAATTTCTAAAATTCTGAAAAATCATGAAACGAATAATTCATATTTATATATTAACAATCATATATTTTTTTCCCTGTGCACAGTTATTGTCAACACTTTTTGTATTATTTTTTTTTTTGTAGCACATACAATTCTGTTCCCAATTAAAATCAAATGGGAGCTACACCCACCACACTTGGTCATTATATAATTATATATGTATATATATGTAGAACCGATCTTGAGGGACAACCGGTGCGATTAGATCTAAGCAGGAAGCGGGCAAAGGAAGAAAATGGTTAGGTGAAATGTACAGTAATCAGTGTGTGGCTGAAAAATGGGATTGGCTATGAATTGAACTAGTATTTATTTTAAAGTATTTATCAACAAATTAAACTGGCTTTTGATTGACTATTTATGGAGGTTTTTTATGAAAGTTATAGCATATAAAACCATTAAAGTATCTTTTACTTGTAGCCAGGCTTTTGGAATAATATTTATTGGTAGTTTCTTGTTGAAGAAAAGGGTGGTATTCTTATTAATTAATCAAAAAATAATAAACCCATAACTAAGTAAATATCCCTTTATTATTTCATAATTATATACAACTTTAATCCATCTCCTTTGCTATTCTCTGCTAAAAATCTTTCCCCTCTGCCACTCTAAACCCACCTCACACACCTCCATAGAACACCTTGATAAGCTAAAGGTTAATGCATTTCCGTTTCCGCAGGCCAAGTGGTTTTTCCATCTTTGGTTTCCTTTGCAAATTCAATATATTTTTTTGTTTTGTTTGTGCTACTCACCTTTGGGTCTTGAGATATCACAGAATGGTTTTTGCGCATAAGAAACCTGCGACGACGACGACACTTGTGGTTGTTGTTGGTTGTTATTGTTGTTGCTCCAGTTGTATTTATAATTGTTGTTCTGGGTGTTGCTGCCGGGTCCAAGTTTTCTTGGCTTAATATGTAACTATTTTGTATTTTTTTTTTTGTTTTTTATTTGGTGTGAACCAAAAGACTTTCAGCTTGGCCTTTGTGTGTGTGTTCCACTTAAGATCTGGTTGTATATATATTCACTTTATACAGCCGGGAGTTATATATATACATATACGCTACTTTTTTATGATTTTCGCAAATTACTTTTTCGTTGGGCAATTTCAGTGTTGTCTGTAGTTGTTGTTGTTGTTGCTGCTGGACACATTTCCGTTGGCAGCAACAACATGACGCGCAGCGTTCTGGCCGTCAATCAAACGAACTGCAATGAAGGTAACAAGAACATAAATATTAAATATTTAAAAATTTGATAAATAAACTAAATTCATCAATATAAAAGTACCCATAAGTATCTGAGAATGAAACCAACTTCTAGAAACTGCAAACAAGAATGGTAATGAAAGCCAATCAAATGCTTAATTACTTTTAATTAGGGAATTTGTAAGCGGAGCTATAGCAGCCAGCAGTTCTGCGGAATTTTTATAATTCGGTTTCGGAATTGCGCCGGCGAAAGGCGGAAGTCCCATTGATTGCAAGTCTGTTTTTTTTTTTTGGCTTTTCGCAGCTATACACACACACAGACACCTGGAGATTGTCACCATCATCCATTCGGATGAGTGTCCAAACGCATCTGGGTGCCACTTGTAGCTCAAAGATTCCCAGCCTGCCGCTGGTAATTGCGAGAGAAATGAGCAATAAGTAAACCCAGACTCTGGCAGTAGTACATCAAAACCACATTAGGCCGAGTGAACTAAATGTTTGGACATACTTACACCCATGAGTGTGGTGTGAGTACTGCTGACCCATTTATCGAGTGCTGCCAGTTGACTGTGATGTGTTAATTAGTCAAATGTTGGTCAACACAACTCGGCGGCCCGCTTTTATTTAGCTTCGAATGGACTTTGGCACTCCTCTCAGCCCCTCTGAGGGGGCACTTTGGATCACAAATTGCTCGAAATGTTAGCCAGTTCAAAAGATTTTTGAAATTTTAATAATATTTAAAGAAGATAAAGCAACTATTTAGGCTGTACTGAAGAGATTTATATTAAGATGTTAATAATTGGTTAAATGCTTTTATTTTTATTTTTAAAGATGTTCTTAAATACAAAACTGTCTGGTCTTTACAATAAATACTTTACAGGTTGGGTCTATACTTTTGATAATAATTATATTTATAATTATTTAATTATCACAAAATCTTTCTATGTCATTATGCATTATTTAAACATATAAATATATATATTTTTTTATAGAAAAACCCTTTCTGTATAATTTATATAATATATTATTACCTATATAATTTCTCTGGCTTTATTTTTACTAAACCTTTTTTTAGAGAACGCCGCCTTTTCTCTGTGCATGCTGGCGAGAAAAATATATAAAAAACAACAACATATACACCAACAAAAATTACAACAACAAAATACAACAAATGATTTAATACATTTGCCCGGCAACCGGATATCGGAGTCGTGGCTGAAGTTGGAACTGAGTAAATGTTTTGCAATTTCCCTAAGATCGCCATGAGTCGGCTGCCGGCACCCGAGTGCAACTATGTATAAGCATCTGCGAGTAACTAAAATGCAGATATATCTGTATCTCCATCTGCACACTGCATCTGCATCTGCATCTGCATGTTGGAGCTGCACAAACACATGTGCGTGTGCCACGATCTCGGCCCCGGCGGTTCCTCAATTAAACAGTACTTGCATTTACAATTGTATCCCATCCCATCCATCCATCTACAGTCTAAGTCTAAGCTCCCGAAAAACCTAAGACCAGTCGGAGTCGGTTAATGGACAAGACGGCTTATCGTTGAGTCGCCGCCGCTGCCGCTTGAGGTGTTGATCATCATGAACTGGACACCATCACCCAAAGGTGCAGAGAAATGAATTGGGAACACAGTCGATTGATTTTTTCAGTTAAATCGATATTTAGAGAAATAAAAATCGGTTTTACTGTCGACTGATTCTTATATATCTTACTTCTTAAGTATAATATGTTAATAAAATCTGTACCCATTCATCGATATTTGAAGTGGAGGAGAAACGATAATTTAAAATTACGATACAAGAGCTAGAAAACGATATTTAGAAAAATTAATTGGGTTTATTGTAGGCTGATTTTTACAGATACTTTTACAAAGTAATAGCGATAAATTAATATTCTGTGTAAAAAATGCCACTTGTTTAAATTGAAATCTTAAAAAAAATCGATAACAACGATAATATTGATTTTATCGATATGTTAACGATAATTGTTATTTTAAGCGATATTTCACATTTAAATATATATAACCTATTTGATATATCCGTCCAATGTGATTGGGGAAAGAGACAAAGAATAAAAAATTTACACTTTCATATATTTATATATACATATCGATATTTTAACATTATTTTTTAATATTTAAAAGATTAAAAGATTATTTCCCTTAGATATAAAACACCACAACAATGTCTCTCCCTTTTCTCGCTGTGCATGAAGCACAACCCACTTGATTTACAAGTTCCATTCACAGAAGCTGCAACCTGCATTCGCGGACGTGAATGTGGATGTGGTTGCCACTCGACTCGACTCGACTCATTTGCCGCACTCATCGGGTTCATTCATTACGGGACAGCCGCTCTGCCGCCAATAATTGTTAAAATTTTTTATTGTTTAACCACTGTTCGCTTTGATTTCGCCGTCAATTTGGCCCGTGAATAATTGAGTTGCCGGGTCCAAACGGAAGGCACAACGATTTTCGGGGGGATACTACTCAAGCGTGATTCGGCAGAAAATACTCCTTTTCCGATCGATTTGATCTCGTTTTTATGGCGTTATTCATTCCACAACAAGGTCAAGTTTGTTGTTTGGAGAGACAAACAATAAAATACAAATAATAAAGGCTGAACATTTTGGGATATATTTGCAAAATGTACAATTTACAGCTACACCATAATTTGGATTATTAAAAATATGCCGGGCAGCTGGGTCAGTTAGAAAACATTTTAGAACAGAAAAGAGTATACATAAAAAACATATCGTATAGTCCCTTCGAATTTGTCCTAAATAAAAAAAAACCCATCCTCCTCCTCAAAGTGTTCTGCAATTATCCTGAACGAACTGGATAGTTAATGGCGCAACTTATGACTACAAAGTGCACCCGATGGTTGTCCACTTCGAATGCGATCTTCTCGGCAGCGACCTCCTCCAGGGCCCGCTCGCTCGTTTCTCCCGTCCACTCGAACATGGCCATGGCATGGATTCTCTCCTGATATTGCTTCAAGTCATCGGCGATGCCGTCGTCCCTGATATGACGGCTGTGCAGGGCAATCTTGTAGGCGGCGAGCTTGTACAGCCAGGGTATGTCCAGGTAGTCGGCCGCCTCCATCAGGGCGAACACGAACTCGATCTTCTCGCGCATGAATTCCTTGTCCCAGTCATGGACGAATAGCTCCATCTCGTAGGCCGTTACCGGCTCCATCTTAGCCACCCAGGCGGGCTCCTCGTCTCCCTTGTGGTACTCCGCCCACAGCAGCAACTTGAGCAGCACTTCGGTGCTCCGGATACCGTGCAGCGGCAGAAGGCACTCCACCATGTCCTTGTCCTGGTGGTTGTCGCTGGCAGACGATGGCCTGGTGTGGCGGCACATTTCTTGAATAACCTTGGAGCGATCGAGGAGTCCAAAGGGCGCTCGGATCGTCCGGCCATCGGCCGCCTGCATGCGCACCATCTCGTCCATGTTAGTTACACGTACTTTCCAAATTCTGTGTTTCCTTCTACGGGGGGGATTTATTTGCAATGCTGGATTTTGGATGTGGGAAATCGATCTTGACAGCTAATTTGGCACAGCCTACTGTGTTTTAGGTTCTGGATTTGCTTTAAAAGTGGGTTGCCACCCCATTTGACCGATTTGAAAAGTCCATAAATTATATTTAAAATAAATGTATGCATTGCCTGCATTTTATAAATGTTATGGCTTATTTTGTGACCATAATAATCCCTTCTCATCACTTGGGGAATATCTGTTATTAGAATAAACGGCTTGCGGGATTATCAATCATTATGCAAATGTCTTAAAGATGGAGTCCCCACCTCGAAATTGCTACTCGCTTTTACTAATTCGGTTTAATGAACCATAAAAAAACATAAAACAAAGACCCCAGCACAGTGGGTCTAATAGCCAGCTCCAGTTTTCAGCTTGCACCGAGTGAAAGAAGGGCAAAAGTCGAGGCACTAAAGCAAACAGAAATCTAACAAAGACCCAACTTTCCCAAGGCGGGCGCCCTGTCGGGTGGGCGTGACCCTCGATCTGTTCACATGTGCCACAGTTGGTGTCTCTGCCACAGTGTCAACTATGTCCGTCCGTCCGCTAATGACAATGTCGGGTAAAAGTGCCTGCCCCAGAGAGAGGAGAAACCCTCGATTCGCACGGCAGTGTGAAACCCGGCTAAAGGCGAATGACATTCAGCTCAAGAATCAAGTTATTAAGGTCACATTCAGGGGTTATAGGAAGAGTGGCGAGAGGAGTTTTGGCCACTCTGCACTTTTGAAAGCATACATTTATTTATCAGGCATTAAGAGTTAACTTTGGCAGAGGGAAATTTGAATTAAAAAAAAGGAAATTGGAATTTAACACAGTGAAATTTGAATTCTTAGGGAATTTTCTTTGGGAACTAAGAGCTATTTTTTAACAAGTTCTTTAAAGGTTATAAATGCATAAAGCTTAAACAATTTTGAATGCTACTTTGCAGTTTTTACCATTGACAGATCATAAAATTATCACCGAATGCACAGCCCACACATCGAGGTTAATTAAACGCACTTTCAGACTGGGGACCTGGAACTGGGATACACATATGTATGTACATATATAAAAATATGTATGTGATTATGCAGATTTATGACTTCAACACTTGCAACTGATAGCCAGGCAGTTTAGTTGTTAACAAAGTTGTTTGTTTATGAGGCGCTTGGCTTGAATTATGGCTAGGAATTAACAACAATTTAGCGGGCTCCGACATGTCGCCAGTTTCCACAATCATTAGCAACGACACTTGGGCCAATCCGATAAGTAAGCCCGGCATCTAGGGGCCCAATATGCTTCCCATATCTATGTGGGCCCCCAAGTGGGCGTCTCAAATTGAGTTTAATTAATCATTTAGTCATAGAACTCTCAGCTCTAATTAAATTCAATTTCAGTCTCAGGTCGATCGATATTCGATCGATCGATCGATCGGTTGAAAATTTGTTATTAAACTATTACGAAATCTGGTCTGGGTTAAAAGCTATAATTGGTCTTACTTGGTTTCTTCACTGTTGTTTTTTTTTTTTTAACTAAAAACTTCCAAATTGTTGCATGCTACTTAAAATTTTTGGCAGTGGCAGTGCACACTGGGCCTGACACCAAACAATTGAATCTAAATCGAAAATTAAAGTTTCAATGATTTAATATATGAAAATCTTAAGCTTAAATTTATATCTAAGATAACCTTAGAACATTTTCGGTAGTACAAAGTAAATGGAAAGTTTAAACTTATTTTCACAAAGTACATATTATTTTTTTCATACATATATGCTTAACATACATACGATTGCAATTAACAAGTTACTTAGTAGAACGGCCAGACTAGTCTCGGTGTCTCCTACCCCCTTTTAGACCACGCCCCTTTGGGTCTCTGCCTTGCATTTGTCGCTTGTCGTTCGTCTGGTTTATTGCACTTTTGGCAGCTAATATTTATTAACAATAATTATCGCTAGCCGTCGTTGTCGTTCGCCATGCCGCACAGTGGCGCCTGTTGAACAATTAATATTGTAGAAATTAAAAATGTTCGCATGGCCGCAAAAACGTACAAATCCTACAAAGATTTTTCCAAGGATTTGGAATCTGTAATCAAACTAATTTAAATATTTTTTCTGTAGAAGATATGAGCATTTAAGGTTTAACTTTGTTTTGTATTTTGCATCACACAAACAAATTTTTATGTGATACCCTATAGAAAGGGGAATTTTACAACAATTACCTAACCAATACCGTTTAAATTATTCGATTATCTTATTTATTTCAAATTTTATGATTTTTGCAACGCAAAATAAGAAAAGGCTCTACTGTGCGCCGTCCGTTCTAACTGTACACGATCTTTTGGGCACAGCTTCCGGACCAGAAACTACAAAGTAAAAAAAGAAAAAGAAAAAAACACCGCCTTAATTGCCAACAACTGCTGCAGCAGCCACATCATGCAAATTACTCGAACTCGACTTGGCTCCGGATCGAGTGGGCCGTTCGAATTGCATTCAAAGTGATAGATGGGCCGAGGTGAAGACAGGCCAGCAGCCGGCACTGGGACCATAAAAACGGCCGACTCATCTTTCACCCGCTTCACAATTCGCCCAGAGTTTTCCCCAGAGTTTCCCGCGCGGAAATTATGATGCGCTTTTCTTTTTTTTTTTGGCATTCAATTCGAACAACTGCGAAGGCAGCCAAAGTGAATGTCTGTCTGTTGATGTTGCCACTTGCTACTGCAGTAGCAACTAGTAACACTCTTTTTGGCTGAGGCAGGTGGGCCAGCGAAATGGTTTTTTATCTAGTTTTTTGTTGTTTTTGTCTTTTTTTTGTGGCCGGAAGCATCGACAAATTTGCACTAAATGGCGCCATGGCACGCGCATCATCATCATCAATGCAATCATCGTCTTTTGGGCATTCAACAGATTCGTTTTTGGTTTTTGATGATTATGCTGATGGTGTTATTATTATACCCTGTGGCCATAGGGTGTTATAGCTTAATACCAGGCCGGAGAAGATATGAAATTAGTAAATAATGTATTTTAAGTTGTTTTGTTAATAATATTTGTTTTATATTTTTTTATAACGTTTAAAGCAGCGTAGATAAGAAATTGGTATCGAGTTCGATAATATACATATATCTGAAAAAAATATCATGCTCAATATTTTAAGTATCGTAAAGTTTGAAATATCGAAAATATAAATATCATTAGATATCGGAGTTAAAGTTAAAATATTTATATTATCAATATTACACTTCGATATATTAAACAAAATATCGATTTATTAAATACCAACATTAAAATATCGATTTATATATCGAACAATGAAAAAATTATCGATACATCTTGTAAAATATATCGACATAATACCGTCATTCCTACTTGAGCCTTAGTTACCAGGTATCTCATAGTCAATTCCACTCAAGTTTAAGACTTCCCTGCTTGCTTTTGGCTTGCTTTTTTCGCGCTTTTCGTGATTTAATATGTTGCTTTTTTTCTGCCTGCCTTGGCTTTGCTTAAATTAAAACACGCTCGCTCGGACGTGGGTTACTAACTGAAGAAAACGCTTCAAATTGATAGATAAGTGAATTTCATAATGAAATTCCATTGAAAAGTTCACTTTTTCAGCGTCAGAATTCTCAAGCTGTGAGTTTGGCAAATCGAAAGACTTGAAACACAAAACCAGCAAGTGGCTTAGGCTAAGGCAAACACTCCAATTGAAATGATAAATGCCACAATGCTTTAATTTAGATGACGCAAGTGCTCCTTGGGCCCCACTCTATATAATTTGCTCGGTATGCGTGCGCGTTCAATGCATTTTTCTTTGTTTTGCGGCACGATATATACGATAGTATGTATGTATTTCTGTTTTGTCGTGTGTTTTTCCTGCCAATAATAAAAGTCTTTGTCAACAGTTAGCCGTTGTTGTAATCGACTCACACGCATGCGCAACGAACGAGCAGCTATTTCAAAGATTTTCTATGCCCTGGCTCAAGCTCTCTTCATTTGCATTTAATTCCAAGCGAAAGAAATAAAACTATATGTTATGTATTTCCAAATGGATCACTCCTTCCGACCGATAATTAAATCGCATTTAATTGCTTTTGAACAACACACAATGTGTGGCAATTGTGAGAACCCGCAGAAGCCATTGACATATGGCATCGGCATCGGCAACGATTGCAAAACATATTGCCAACCATTTGTCCAACCTGATATTGTTCGAGCCGAGTGATATATGTGCACTTGCCGTGGCCCAAGACAAACGATATGCATTCATTGCATATGACAGCGATGAATGCAGATATTCCAAATGGCCCTTGAAATTAAATGCAAGATCTGAATGATGGGATATAGAGACTCTGAAATGCGATTTCTCCTCTTTTTTTTTGTAACAAGTCAGGTCATGAGGCATTTACATTATTTATTTACAAGTAATAATTTCTATATTGTAATGAAATATTACGTATACGTATCAAGTATACGCAATTTTCAAGTTTTATTTTACTCTTTTAAATACTAACATTTTATATATTATTTATTATAAATGCTTTTTTAACCTTCTTATTCTTTTACTTTTCCAATATTTTAATTTCGGATAATCTCACAGTTCTTTAAGAAATTAAATTTTGCTTATACATATTAAGTATACGTAATTTTAAAGTTTTTTTTACTCTTAAGATATTTACATTATAACTAATTTTGGAATTTGCCAACCTCCTTTTTGTTTTACATTTTTAATATTTAACTTCCGGATAATCTCAATTTTTGAACGAATGAAATATTACGTATACGTATTAAGTATACGTAATTTTCAAGTTCTCTAAGATAATCCCATAGTTTTTAAGCTCGTCATGCTTGAATAGTTTCAAATCGCCAAGTTCGTGTCCCCAGACTTTGTTTTCTTGATATAAATTGCAAATATTCATACATTTATTTGGATTTCCCTTTACTTTATTTGCGTGACATAATTCCCCCCCACCAAGGGCTTTCCCAAAAAGAAACAAAAACATAATTAAAATTACCACCTAGGCATTTTCATTGTCGCGGCTACTTATCGCATTTAATTGAGA